GAACCTTGTGTCCTGCAAACTGACTACACCCAGACACCAGCACGACATTCACATTTAGCTTGGCGTGACGTGACTGTGAAATGTCAGAAACCCTGGGTCAGAGAAGTAGACAAATAACATTTTCTGGTTGTCATGTATGACTAAGTTCTTTGCAGGCAACTTGAGCATGCATAGGTCACGTTGCAATGGCATGCCTGTGAACCCCTTACCAGTTCCTACCTTATATTCTTAGATCTTTCGGTAAAGTCACGTTGTTTTATATATATTATTATTTTATTGTTTCCCTTCAACGTGACTTTACCGAAAGAGCTAAGAATATGAATTACTGCAGTCACGAAAGCTTCAAATCAAAAAGTTCCTACCTTATTAAAGACCAATTCAGACCTTATTGGTCACCCCCATACCCTTATACATCTAAACGTTCATGGACTTTGTCCATGAACAGTCCCATGGACTTTGTAGGTACGCCGTATGGACCTGAAAACTCAATTTGTACAAGAATACGGGTAAACCGTATGGGTTGACAGGTATGCAATGCACGCATATGAGTTAGACAGCATCTTCAAGTAGCCACGTGCAGTGCCATGTCCTATTACATTCCAAAATTTGTATTCATACTGGAGAAATCCGATGAGAAACAAAGCTCTTTATCACAGATGTACAGTCGGGGTAGGGTCAGAAAGTTCCAACCATTGTACAAATACGGCTATTGGCTGTTTTAAGTTGGGGCATCGGTCTGGATTACGCTGCCACAGGGATAATGTACTTGCGATATTGTTGGTATATAACGGATGGGTTTTCAAAACACATGTTCATGCAAATTATCTGGTGGTCGATACAATGGGGCTGGCAGCTAAGTGAGAGAACGCGTGAGAGACCATGGACTGGACAAGGTTTAAATGAACCACTCGATCAGGTAGCACACAGGTGGGAATATGGATAAATTTTAATGCAAGGTACAGCTCTCAGATGAAACCGGAAATGAGTAGCCATTGTAGTACAACCAAGCTTCAATAATTTGAATTCATAGCTGTATACATTTGCATAAAAATATGGAAATCTGTATTTAAATCATATAACAGTAACAAAAATAACAGGATATACTCAAGCTAAAAATTTACATTTACTATATGGTAAAGTTTAACAAAACTTTTTCCCATGACCAAATTCTCTAGTTGATACACAAAAAATATCTTCTTCAAAACAACTAGTTGTATTAAAACTGCTGACAATTTTTTTTATCTATGGTATTAATATTAATAAGTAAAAAACTTTAAAGAACACTTCCACATTCCGACATTTTAGCGAACCGCTGTGAATTAATAGACTATTTAACGAACCACTGCCAATAGACCAATCGCTTGCTATGTGATGTGCAATCACATAGCATTGTTAACTCACAACACGCCAGAACACGCTTACATCACGTTACATATTCTTTGGGTCTTTTGGTAAAGTCATAGATAGGTTCAAAGAAAATAACAAAATACTACGTTTCGACCGCTTGAGGTTGCGATCGAAACGTCGTAGTTATTTGTTATTCCTTTGAACCTATCTACGTGACTTTACCGAAAGAATACGAATTCCTGCAGTCACGAAAGCTTCAAGTCCGGATTTTATCACGTTATTTCCCAACGTGTGTGATTTACAATTGCCACTTAAATTAACTCCCAAGCGTGCTGAGGCACTGCAATGCAGCTAAACCTCACCGATGATCTTTGTAAATACATGGCTCCAGCCGCTGTTATTTCTGACTCGTGGCAAAGATGAGAGTACATATGGCAGACAAAAGAGACCAGCTTAGTTATCACGAAAATGGAAACGAATGTATCAAATAAAATCACAATCTCCATTTTTTTTTGCTCAAATATCGTTTTATGGTCATACTTGTTTTCCAAAAAATGTGGTAAAACACATCGAATACCGACTTCAATGTACGTTCTTAATTTAAAGCTTTCGTGACTGCATGGATTCATATTCTTGGTTCTTTCGGTAAAGTCACGTAGAAGGGAAACAATAAAATACAAATATAAAACAATTAAATTCTCACGACGAGAACGTCGTGAGAATTTTGTTTTATATTTTTATTATTTTATTGTTTCCCTTCTACGTGACTTTACCGAAAGAACCAATAATATAATGTACGTTCTTGTTTAGAGTAAAATATGAGTAGTAAATGTTTTAAAATGAATGTGACGATTGGAGGCATTCCCCTGTCAAAAAAAATGTCCTCTTAAATTGACTCGTACGTGTTCCTTGCATGATAAAAACTACAAATTACCAACACTTAAAGAATACCAATGTCACATTCCTCTTTTCAATTTAAACCATCTTTAAACACTGTACACAATCAACTGACTTCAAATAAAATGAAAAACAGCATCTCCATGCTGGCTTTTATTTAAGTTAAGATGCCCAAGTATGACTCAACAGCAGTGGCGTATTTGAAAATAATCCTCTGGAAAACACCTCCGCTCAAAAGGTTCCTGAGTAATTTTGAGTCTATGATGTAACAACATTGGTTCTCCCCTCTCATTGCTGTTTGTGTTCAAGATCAACGTTTAAAAAAACAACCCGACATTTTTGTACATTTGTACACATTTTTTTTTTACTTTTTGTACATAAACTGTATAAAATTAACAAAGTTGTGTTCTACAAGATACCAACAGTTCTGAGCCACGCACTTGTTCTGGCAAAGAAGCGCGAAACAGCAAGTCCGCTGCATACAACTTTTGGAACTGGCAGGCTGGCTGGGTTTTTTAAGCGAGTGTGAATGAAACACTGTCAAGGCCCCTTCCTGTAAAAACGCATCTTAGGGTTGTGTATGGCCTCATTAAGGTGCTCAATGGTGTTCATTTCCCAAAATAACAAATGTTGCCAAAAGCATGGGCGCCAAGAGCTGGTGGCAGTTCTTTGTGTGCTCGTCACACATGCTGCGAACGTTATCGGCGTTAACTGCATGTGCACTTGCACACACTGGGGGAATTTCACCGTGGTCAACGGGGGAAGACCAATTTTAGACAGCCAATCACAGCAATTCTCACATTCACTTGTGTACCACCCCTCCATAGGAGACATACACAACTAAACGAGGGTCATTGCACAGCATACAGGGAGGAAAACAAGTATTTGATCCCCTGCTAATTTTGTACGTTTGCCCACTGACAAAGAAATGATCAGTCTATAATTTTAATGTTATGTTTATTTGAACAGTGAGAGACAGAATAACAACAAAATCCAGAAAAACGCATGTCAAAAATGTTATAAATTGATTTGCATTTCAATGAGGGAAATAAGTATTTGACCCCCTCTCAATCAGAAAGATTTCTGGCTCCCAGGTGTCTTTTATACAGGTAACGAGCTAAGATTAGGAGCACACTCTTTAAGGGAGTGCTCCTAATCTCAGCTTGTTACCTGTATAAAAGACACCTGCCCACAGAAGCAATAAATCAATCAGATTCCAAACTCTCCACCATGGCCAAAGACCAAAGAGCTCCCCAAGGATGTCAGGGACAAGATTGTAGACCTACACAAGGCTGGAATGGGCTACAAGACCATTGCCAAGCAGCTTGGTGAGAAGGTGACAACAGTTGGTGCGATTATTCGCAAATGGAAGAAACACAAAAGAACTGTCAATCTCCCTCGGCCTGGGGCTCCATGCAAAATCTCACCTCGTGGAGTTGTAATGATCATGCGAACGGTTAGGAATCAGCCCAGAACTACACGGGAGGATCTTGTCAATGATCAAGGCAGCTGGGACCATAGCCACCAAGAAAACAATTGGTAACACACTACGCCGTGAAGGACTGAAATCCTGCAGCGCCCGCAAGGTCCCCCTGCTCAAGAAAGCACATATACATGCCCGTCTGAAGTTTGCCAATGAACATCTGAATGATTCAGAGGACAACTGGGTGAAAGTGTTGTGGTCAGATGAGACCAAAATGGAGCTCTTTGGCATCAACTCAACTCGCCGTTTGGAGGAGGAAGAATGCTGCCTATGACCCCAAGAACACCATCCCCACCGTCAAACATGGAGGTGGAAACATTATGCTTTGGGGGTGTTTTTCTGCTAAGGGGACAGGACAACTTTACCGCATCAAAGGGATGATGGACGGGGCCATGTACCGTCAAATCTTGGGTGAGAACCTCCTTCCCTCAGCCAGGGCATTGAAAATGCATCGTGGATGGGTATTCCAGCATGACAATGACCCAAAACACACGGCCAAGGCAACAAAGGAGTGGCTCAAGAAGAAGCACATTAAGGTCCTGGAGTGGCTTAGCAAGTCTCCAGACCTTAATTCCATAGAAAATCTGTGGAGGGAGCTGAAGGTTCGAGTTGTCAAATGTCAGCCTCGAAACCTTAATGAATTGGAAAAGATCTGCAAAGAGGAGTGGGACAAAATCCCTCCTGAGATGTGTGCAAACCTGGTGGCCAACTACAAGAAACGTCTGACCTCTGTGATTGCCAACAAGGGTTTTGCCACCAAGTACTGAGTCATGTTTTGCAGAGGGGTCAAATACTTATTTCCCTCATTAAAATGCAAATCAATTTATAACATTTTAGACATGCGTTTTTCTGGATTTTTGTTGTTGTTATTCTGTCTCTCCCTGTTCAAATAAACCTACCATTAAAATTATAGACTGATCATTTCTTTGTCAGTGGGAAAACGTACAAAATCAGCAGGGGATCAAATACTTTTTTCCCTCACTGTACACAGCTGCTGAATACTATATACTGTATGACACTGAATAACACAACATTCATCAAACCACAGCCTCTGCCCAGAGATGCTGCCATCTACAGTTATACTGCTACACTGTTGGGTCGTATTCTTGAGCAGAGGGCATTGGTATTGTTTGTGGAGCGGAGAGCTTGGCAACACTTAACTCTGCTGAACATTAAAGGTTAAAGACTCAGGAGGATATCACACCAAATATTCAGCAAAAAACATTACTGGATGCTTACATTCTATTGAAAATTCATCACATTTTGGATGAAATTTTTTTTTGGTAAAAATAAATAAAAATCCTCCCAAAATCTGTAATGTTCCAGGTAGCTGCCGAAGGTATGTAATAGAGGGCTCGGTATTTATGACATGGAAAAAGCCCCCAAAACTGTGAAACTAAGATGCTCTCTCACCTGAGTTGTTTACATTTTTTAAAGAGCGGTCTTTCGCCTGTCTGTGGCTGAAGAAACGCCTCTGGAAACAGCAGTTCTCAGTAGCCACGTGGCAAAGGTTAACAAATTAACTCCACACGCTCGCTACAACCTAAGCACATGCATCCACCTAGTACATAGGGCCACGCCACTGCTGAAATGGTGGCCTCTGCTGATAAGGATGCTGCTGCTGCTGTTGCTGGTATGATTGATGTTGCTGCTGGTAGTGAAAGGGTGCAGGTTGGGCCCACTGGTTTCTCTGCCATCCCCAAGCGTCGGAGTGATTCCGTCTCTGCTGCTCACCGACTCCCACGGCCCTGCCACCACCGCTGGCCAACATACGTGCCTCATTCTCGCCCAGCACGGCTTGCGACGGCGGCTGCTGCTGCTGAAGGTGTTGTCGGGGGTAGCTAATAGCATGTTGCTGCCTGTTGGACTGAGCCATGTTAAAGTTGCTCACCTGGAGAAAATAAAAAAGGACAAGGGTCCCCCAATTAGTCTTGTCAAGGAAAAGTGTTGTTAGCAATGCAAATTAAGACTGCACAGTATATAAAGGGATGGTCGAGCCAGAACCATAAATTATATACTCTTGTTAATATCCCCCCTCCCAAATATATTAAAAATGTGGCACTGGTGTCATGTAACGAGGCAGAGAATCTCTTAGTATATCTCACAGAAGTGTGCAAACCCAGGTACTTGGGGGTATCACAACACCCTCCATCAGTTACTGCAGTGGCATCACCACTGTACCTGGTATTCATTCGAGGCCGTGTCTATGCCACGTTAAAATGCCACTTGACGATCGTGTTGTGCGTGGCTAGGACTCTTGATGACGTAAGGATTTACATTATGAGACCTCCGTTGCCAGTAACAAGATATAGTAATAGGTTTTACCCTATTCTATTCTTAGTTCTTTCGGTAAAGTCACGTTGAAGGGAAACAACAAAATAATAAAATATATATAACTCAAAAGGAGGTCTCATAATGTAAATGCTCGCCCCGAGCCCTCAATACTCTGATAGTGCGCTGTTTTTGAGTTGTACGCCTTTTGGCGTCTTCTGGTCCAACACCAGTGGAGACTAGGCTCTAAGAAAAGCCGTCTCGGGTGTGGACCAATCAAATTCAAGGACAGTGCATATTATTATCAGAGTTGTCTCTTTTGTTTGCATTTTGACTGCTTGTGCTGTGGTTATTGCAAACATGATGCCTTGAATAAAGGTGTCAGTTTTTGTGCCAGTTAAAAAGGGTAAACCCTATTACTATGACGTAAGGATTATTTCAGTGTGCCAATTTGACCATTGTGCGCAACTGCTACCCACAACACAGACAATCCCACACATAGCAGACATACTAAGTAGTTCCAGCCACATAGCCGAGTCTTAAAAACTCAAGTTTTGCAGCGGCCTATGAAGGGTACTCAAGTATCAGCAGTTATGTTACTCACCGAAGCCTGCAAGTTTAGTGCAGGGTTTGACAAAGGCATCTGATAAAAGTACGTAGGATGCAGCGCATTTCCATTGGCTGGGTTCCCATTGTACCTGGAAAAGAAAACTGTGTTAAAACACGAGGCCATTTGTATGTATGTTGAACTTGTTTCGCACTGCACTGTACGTAGCCAACCGTGCTAATCGGAGGTGCGGTGGCGGGACAACAAACTAAACACATAAAGCAGTTCTAAAGAAATTAGCTTTCAATCTAGATTCAAAAGTGCACAGCTCCAGTGGCTTCCAAATATCGGAAGAGCGTTCCAGACGGCCGCAGAAGCGCAGTGTCCACGTTGAACATTTCCTGTTGCAAATGTGTAAATTACAACACGATCCAGCAGATGTAAGTTCACAATTGTTGGTGTAATGGTCGCTCTTGCAAAAGAACAAACAATATTTGATTGGTTTATTTTGTTTGTAATACATCAGGTGTTTATTTATCCAATCGTTATAGAATCTTAATAGTTAACTTAACAGATCACTGTTGTTGAATCTTCCCACCAGACCTTACTTTAGATGTTTTAGAGGCTTTCTGTGCATTGTTAGATGGTGAGCCTCACCTGTTGAGAGATGGGTTGGCTGCTCCGTTGATATTTTCTTGCTTGTGACCAGTTCCCCACAGCTCTGCCTTCTCTTCACTGATATGAGTGCTCCCTGCAATCCACAGCCCAAAGGCGGCATGAACCAATCGATGGTGCAAATATTTTCAGGCTCTCCCAAAAGTCCCACCGCAATCAATCGCTCCTATAGGCCAAATCCACAAATGGAGATTTTTTGCCGACACAAAACTCGTTTCCCATGTGTTATCACCACCCTCGCCAATTGAATATTTAAACTGCTTGTCTCGGACACACTAGCAGCCTTAAAATTGGGGAAAATTATAATAAATAATGAGACTACATTGGCTGTCATGCAAAAGCACAAATAACAAACTCACAATTCATCAATACCATTTCCTTTCATATGAAACATTACATAAAACGATAATTTTTTTTGCAATCCCTTCATAGCAGAGATATTGATGTTGATGAATGCGTTGAGTTTTTTCCACTTTTGAGTAAGATAGAAATAGTTTAGCTTTATTTGGATATTTTCAAGTGCTTCGCTTACCTTTCCTATACTTTGCACTATTGTGCTTTTGTATTGTTTGTTGTTGTAACGTTCTGACTTGCCCCTTAATGGGCATCTGTGAAAAAGATATTTATAGCTCATCGTATTCCTCCAGCAAAGATTATGATACTTATATAAACTTGCAGAAATTCGCTATTATGGCATGTTTGAAATTGAGGAGTACGAAGTCCTGCGTCTCATTTCCCTCAAAACTAAACTATTAAACTATTATACTCTCTGGTTCTTTTGGTAAAGTCAAGAAGACAGAATAAAAAATAATTAAATAAAACACGCCGTTTCGGTCGCAACACAAGCATCCGTCTTCAGGTGAGAAAATGATCTGCTGTTGTGGCTTTATATAGGCACGGGAGGGGGGGGGGGGAAGGAGTTTTGTCGAGTCGTGGCTGTAGGAGTTCACGGGGGAGAGGGGGGAGAGTTTGTGGCATGCAGGGATGGATGGGGCTGGAGAAATAAGCAAGGAGCTCGAATTAGTAATCGGACGACGACAACCTCCCGTGCCTATATAAAGCCACAACAGCAGATCATTTTCTCACCTGAAGACGGACGCTTGTGTTGCGACCGAAACTTGGTGTTTTATTTTATTTTTTTCTATCTACGTGACTTTACCGAAAGAACCAGAGAGTGTGGAGTCCTGCAGTCACGAAAGCTTCAAATCAAGACTATTAAACTATTTTTTTTATTTTACCAGCTAAGGCCCTCGGAGCTGTATAGCTCTTTTGCAGAAGTGACCTGGCCACAAATTATAGCTCATTGAAGTGGTTCATTATGTGGAAATGTATAGCAGCCAACACACTCTGAACGCGTGATGTTGATTCTAAATGTGGAGGGAAAAACCGAGGACCCGGAGAAAAATCCACGTGACCACAGGCAGAGAGAGACAAGCAAACTCTGAATATACAACAGGCGTCAGTGTCGGGATCGAACCCACGACCTCCTGCATACCAGGCGAGGCAGATAACATCCGTCTGCCTGGGAGACCGTACCTGTGCGATACTGCAGCTTGAGCGCACGTCCAAAGAGGCGGATGCCGTTCATGAGGCCCATGGCGTATGGCACCGACTCCTCGTGCTTGAACGTCACGAAGGCAAACTGCTTCAGCTTGCCATCCTTGTCCTTAGCAATCCACACCTTGACCAAGGGACCCGCCTGCACTCGTCAGAGTGCGCGGAGGAAACGCACACGTGATAACGTCACTGAACAGTATCGCAGCTCGAGTATACGAAAGTAACGTGTTGGTTAATTTCATCAACCCCTTGTCCTTACCACCCACGAGTCTGTATGTCAACATACTGGGCATTTGTGAAACTACTAGACATCTGTGAAAGAGCTTTATTGCTCATCGGATTCCTCCAGTGTAAATAAATATTCCGATCCCGATACAGTTGTCCTCTACCCAACACACCAGCATCACAACCCCCCTCCACTTCACCTCAATCTCTCGTGCCATCACCCCGGTGCGTTACAGACACAAACAAGCGTATTATTACTTAGATGATCATGTTAGTGATGATTCTGATCCAAGTGTGGTTTTCTGAATTAAGTTGCGTGTTGATTAATTATCATTTCAAGTGTTCACCACGCACTACTTGTCTAACTCCTGTACTTCTAGGCTTCATTTCCTGACGATGCCCGAGGCCTTTTCCAAACGAAAAAAAATGTAGGTAAAAAAAAGAAACGTTTGTCGATGTTTCATTTTCTCTATGCAAGCCACCCACTTTTATTCAGCATTAATTCCAGGGTCAAAACAATTTATTTTGTACTTTAGAGTGCATTGAAAAGCTTGTTTTTTGACCAATTTAATTATGATCCTGTAGAGATGACAATCATGGCTTTGCTGCCTATGTCAACCCTTGACCCTACAATAAATGAAAGCCTGCGCATTGCTACACAACAGTCTACGTAATTAAAGTTTGATAGCTCGCATCGCGGCTATTACAATTGGAATAACGATCATGCCTACTGCAAAGTCGTGAAATGCCATTTAGAACAAGGCGATATGTATGTATAACATGTTTAATTGTCGAATTTGCGAACATTAAGTACTATACAATATGAAAGACGGGAAGACAGACTGAAATGCTATAACAATGAGCGCATATGGACAACAGTGCATCTCGCGAGACCGTATTCAACGCGCACAGATTTTGTACTTTAAATGAAAGCAGTTACATCACCAATCATCTTTAGAAAATTGTGTCAATCAAAATAGGGATAGCATGAGGGCATTCAATTTTAAATCATGATCACGGTTCTCGACTGCTCACTAAACTTGAGCGTGGCAAAACGAACAAAAATACTATTTCTTACGAGTATAACTATGTCATTATTTTAACAATAGTAATTATTAATCATAATACAGTTTTTTTGGGTTAGATCGTGTAAGTATAAATGTGTCGTTAAACCCGCCATCACCCGACACAGCCAATTAGTAAGGTTTGTCACGTAAACAGAACATGGCCAAGTCGTTACTAGTACAACACACTGGTGTGCTGGAGAGTAAATCCACAACATTTCCAATCTGAGTACGACGTTTCGCCAGTAATTATTACAACCGGCATCATTGTAAATGTTGCGGGTTTTACTCTCCAACACACCCACCGGTGTGCTGTATGGTACTCGTAACGAATTGGCACGTTTTGTTCACGTGACGAACCTTACTAAATTGGCCATGTCGGGTGATGGCAGGTTCAAAGACACATTTATGCGAACTAACCCAAATAAAAAAAACCCTGTATTATGGATGATATTGGTCGCGAAAGTCAACGTGTTAAACAGTAATTACCATTTCTTGTCATGAGACTTTCTTTGCCAGTAGCAAAATATGATAATAGGGGTTCCCCCTTTTTCCTGGCACCAAAACTGGTGTTAAGATGTTAAAACACCAAACAGAAAACCTTTTACAAGGAATCATGTGTTAGACCAGAGGACGCCAAAAGGCGTACTCTGGTCTAACACCGTTTGAGACGAGGCTCAAAAGAAAGCTGTGTCTGGTGTGGACCAATCAGTTTCAAGGACAATGCCACATATATTGTCAATGTATGTTTTTGTTTGCATTCTGACCACAAGTATTGTGGTTAATACAGACATGATTCCTTGTAAAAGGTTTCAGTTTGGTGTTTTAACATCTTCACACCTGTTTTGTTGCCAGAAAAAAGGGGAAAAACCTATTATCATTATTTCTTGACTTAAAGCTCACGTGACTGCAGGAATTCATATTCTTTGAGTCTTTCGGTAAAGTCACGTAGATAAGTAGAAACAAAAAGTAATATTTTAAAAAACACTATTTTAAAAACAAGCTTTAATGAAAAGTACCGTACGAGTAATGGCAGAACTCCACGACTCCAGGAAGTGTTCCTGAAGATTTCCATAACGTAAGGGGCTGTGGTGATTTACAGCCAACGTGAGTTGAGCGTGGACAATTAGACCAAAGATTGCTTAAAATATATATTTATTTTTTATGATAGAATATAGTATTGTCATCAGTATGACATACGTATACCAAGTTTGCAGTCGATACCACATTGTGAAGTGGGTTAAAATAGAGTTACAAGATTTGAGGATACAACAACAGTGAGTTAAATAAAAGCGTGTAATCGAAACGTCGTAGTTTTTTGTTATTTTCTTTCTACTTATCTACGTGACTTCACCGAAAGACCAAAATAATATTAATAATATTGATGTTATTCGTATATTTTCTATTAGTTACCATTTGGAATTTTGTGGTTATTTTGCCAATTTTGATTATGCCGATGATCATTTAATGGGCCATCATCATTAAAGGCGATTATATTCCTAGGTGATGATTCAACTTTCAATAATAACTGCTGTTGATATTGTAGTTGATCACGTCTGTTGATTGTATGTTAATTACACACACAGTGCTTTCCACAAATTAACGACTTTTAAATCCAGATTGCAAACTTATTTTGTCTTACAGCTGCTTTTTGTGTTTAGTTTGCTGTCCTTCCCCGGCACCTCCGATTAGCGCGGTTGACTACGTACAATGCGAAGGTAGTTCAACATCTACATAATCATCAGTGTCGTACCCAGGGCGCGTTACCTGTACGCAGAACAGTTGCTCCTATAATTATTTGTTCGTGTTGTTATATGCGACCTCCGATAAGCGAGCCCTGATAATCGTGGCCTTCGCGGCCGTTTTTTTTCTTTCTCCTGCGCCGAATGAATGAAGTGGCGCGACAACTTAAAGACAAAGAACACATCGTCAAGTCCGCGGAACACCGCGCGGGCGCGGATTTCTCCGGACACACACACATCTCACGATTATCCGCGCCAGCGGAGGTACAGGCTCGGGCGAGTAGGTTTCCCCCCGGGGCCACCTTCCCCCTCCCAACAACATCACCATCACTACCACCGCCACCACAGCAGCAGCAGCAACAACAACAATCGACACCTCGAGGGTCGTCACCTGCAGGAAGAGCTCGAAGAGGACTTCTTCAGTGGAGCGCGGGTCCAGGTTGCCCACAAAGAGGCAGCGGTCCACATCATCGCTCGAGCCCATGTTCCGCCTCGGGTCTACCTCTCGTTCTCTCCGGCTTCTCACCACCACCAAATCGTCGCCGTCCTCCTCCTCGTCCTCCTCCTCCTCGTCCTCCTCCTCCTCGTCCTCTTCCTCGTCCTCCTCCTCCTCGTCGTCGTCGTCGTCCCGCGCGGGGAATCTGCGACGCAGGCCTCAAAAAACGCGCGCCGCCATGAGGGTCCTCTGCCTGCCGTAAAGCCTTGGTCGTAAAGCAGCTGCATTTGGTCGTAAAGCGTTACGGCGGCGGGGGGGGGCGGGGCTGGAAATGTCGTAAAACTACAACCGTTACATGACCGCTTGAGTTTTTTTTTTACAGAAAAATATTGGAAATAAATTGAGCGTAAAGTCTATTGCTGTTTACGACGACGTAAGTATTTTATTCATTTTTTTCCGAGAAAAAAATCCTATTTACAGTTCCGCCTATTTCAGAGCTAGCGATGGGCGCCAGTCACGTGGTGCGCGACACGAGGGCGTCGATTCCAATTCGCTTTTTTTTTATTCCGCGAGGAATCGCGCGCACGACCCTGGGATCGATTCCCGCGGCAGCGCTTACCCCTCCTCCCACGGAGCCGTGCGCACCACGCGGGCCGCTCGGGACGAACTCGTGGTCAGCGGGGAGCATTGACGTTGGGGCATGGTGCAGTACAACAGTGGCGGGTGGGGGGCTACCACACTGCCCCCCCCCTCTGATGACAAGTGTAGCCATCAGCACCCTATAACACCTGCTATGCTTGGTGATCGATCCGCGTACATTCTCTAAGCACCCCGAATAACGCCGCTTCTCTGATCGATCCCTACGAGAGAACACATCCCAACGCTCTCGTTATCTACGATTCCGTTAATCGATTCTCTTTCGACTCGCTAACGCGGGGGGGAGTGGGGCGGGGCCGTGTGGCGCGATATCGATTCTCGCGGAATCGATTCCCGGTAATCGATTCCTCGCCGATGCGTCCTGCGGTGGTGATGATGACGGCGCGGGCCGCGGCGGCGGCGGCGAGTCGGAGCGCTCCCCTTGGCGCCCTCTCCTCCTCCTCCACCTCCTCCTCCACCTCCTCCACCTCCTCGTCGTCTACCTCCTCCGTCTCCCCTTCGCGTCGGCAGGGGGAGACCCAGGCGCCTCCGTTCGCGCGCCACGCCCGCCGGAGCGCGGCCCTCTCTGCTGCGACGGCGGCGGCGGCTTCCGAGCTGGGGAGTCGCGTGGTGTGGGTGGACCTCGAGGTGAGAGGGGAGCTGGGAGGTCGAGTGGTGTGGGTGGACCTCGAGGTGAGAGGGGGGTCGAGTGGTGTGGGTGGACCTCGAGGTGAGTCGAGTGGTGTGGGTGGACCTCGAGGTGAGAGGGGAGCTGGGGGGTCGAGTGGTGTGGGTGGACCTCGAGGTGAGAGGGGAGCTGGGAGTCGAGTGGTGTGGGTGGACCTCGAGGTGAGAGGGGAGCTGGGGGGTCGAGTGGTGTGGGTGGACCTCGAGGTGAGAGGGGAGCTGGGGGGTCGAGTGGTGTGGGTGGACCTCGAGGTGAGAGGGGAGCTGGGGAGTCGAGTGGTGTGGGTGGACCTCGAGGTGAGAGGGGAGCTGGGGAGTCGAGTGGTGTGGGTGGACCTCGAGGAAGAGTAGGCCGAATACAGAGGAGGAGCAAGAGGAGAGGGGGGAGACCTCCCTCTTGTGGAGGACCTCCACACGGCAGTGGCATGAGCAGGCAATGTCAACCCTGCTGCAGATTTACCTTGGCGAATACAGGATGACAATATTACCGCAGTTTGTAATTACAAAGATAAACCCCAACGTTATTTGTACGTGACTGTCCCTCCAAATTTAGCTAGACCTTGTTTTATAAGCACAATTCTGTATAGTACGGTATGAGTATGATATAACATGTGCCACAGATTACAAATACCACGACTACCACCAGTGCTTAGTTGCAGCCGGGGCCGCGTTCCGGAAAATATATCCCCCTCATTCAGGCTGGCTGAAATCAATATTGACGTTATAATAACAACTAAGCCATACAGCTGTGTATGCTTTAACTTTAACATAGCCATTTCTGTGACCAGTCGCAAGCTAATCACTGAGCCATTTCAATGCTAAATTCTATGCTAATTACTTTTTGGTTCTATTGGGTAAAGTCACGTAGGTGAACATAAAAAGAGTATGGATCCTAGCAGTCACGAAAGCGTTAAATCTAGAATCTATGCTAATTCCTTTGTCAAGGCACTTTGTCTCTTCTCACACAGCTTTAAAGGTCGCGATCTGAGCGTGGCTTTTTCACTCCAGCGCTGTCCTCCAGACAGTCTCGTCCCTTCACCTGATGAAGGCCGCTTTTGTTGTGGCCGAAACGTCGTGATAATATTAATGTGTTATTTTATTTTATCAATTTATTATTTTATTCTCATTCTACGTGACTTTACCGAAAGAACCAAAGAAGAACATACAGCTACTGTGGGAGAGAGGCAGCCCTGCACATGCTTGCGAAAGATTCTCCACTAGGGGGAACTCTTGCTGAATAAATAGAGCCTCTGTACTCGCTAACAGAGGCCAAGACGTCTTGCAAGAGGTGGGAGTATAACCCACACTTTACCCCACCACTCGTGATCTGTGGCATGCCCATTTATACGGTGTCTCGGTGCTTTACAGGCACTTGCGTGTACGTGCGGTGTGTTGAACTTCTTTCGCGCCCTGCGTAGGCAACCGTGCTCATCGGAGGTGCGATCAAGTAGTTGATGAAACATGTTTGAGTGTGGGTCGAAAGAGATGAAGATTAACGAGCAAACAACGAGAGCCAAACGGAATTGCAGCAACTAGCGACAGCAGTAGGTGTCGGTGCGTTGAAACCAACCGCGGGGTAACAGCGCAAGTGATTTTATATTCAATACCCGTGTGAGTTGGAGGTATTGAAGAGATGGAGCGAGGGAATGGGTTCAGGTTGCGAGGTGGATTATTTACGTCGCAGGATCATGTGAGAAGGTGGCTTGGGGTTGGCTTCATCCAGCAGTGGATTTACCATGGCTAATAATGGTGATGGCCGCTGTATTCATCGTACAATCCACATCAATGAATTGCCAACGTGTAACGGGTTGTACAGAGGAGCTGTCACGAATTAAGAAACTCTTTAAACTTCAGAGTCATTCTGTCTTGATGTGAAACATTTTAAATGTATGTGGCTCATGTAAATTCCCGAGGAAACGCACAGCTAGACTGTGTTCATTGTTTTATAAATGCACTCCATTTCCCAAATGTAATTGCAGTCATGTTGTCGGCATCACGTCATGAGAGGATAGGTGTGAAATAATGTTTTCAATTATAATTTTGCTTTTATTACCTGGGCATTTTGTGTTCCAGACACAGATGGAGCTAACACGAGTAACATCATAATGTGAAATTTTATTCAGCCAGCTGGCTAGCATCATGCGGTCTGGTGAAATTTCTGCAATAGGCAGGGACATTCCTGTCAAATGAAGTCAGCTAACCAGGAATCAATAGGATACATTGTAGGGGAAAATGACTACTTACTGCATTCAGTTAAGTCTTTGAAACTCATTGCACCGTCAGTTTGAAGCTGGTTCAATAAATATAATCCGTCTGAAATCTAATCCATTTTTAGTGAATTAGGACTGGAGGTGTTGATGGATTACGGTTTATATTGCATCACAGAAATTCTAGTGTATTGGCTTTAACTCAACTTTTGATGGAAACGTCAAATTTTACCCGTGCAGTGTTGCATCGCTTTAAATAGCATTTAGGGTAATTATCTTACACGGCACTATTGTTGGCTGGGATATTTTCAGTTTTTTAAGTAATCGGAAGCAAAAAAAATGTTCCAACATCAATAATTCTTCCACTTAGAAATCAGCATTATCCAGCACACGTTTATGAACAATAAAAATAATATTTTTATATAAATGGTCGAGACTAATGACGGAGTGGCAGTCAAGGGTGGAAACGTGCGGAGATGGAGCAATGAAATCAGCTCGAGTTCACAAGCTATATTGATATATACATCATGGGACTTGGAGAGATGGTAACAGCTGGAGGAGGCCTTCATCCAGCAGTGAATTGACGATAGCTGATGAAGATGTTATTCACCACACGCATGAGTAGCAGCAACATAGTTAGTACTCTATATCATCAACTGACGAGAAGAATTCAGCAGGAGTAGAATTGAGTACGTTCTGTAGTAATTCAGTCGTGACCTGGCAATTCCACAATCTGTCAGTGGGGGACAGTGTTGTCAACCAAATGCTGTTACTAAGCGGCCTCATTTCATAAGCGTACTGCAACTGAAGATCCGCTGTGTTTAGATGTACAGTATAATTAATTTTCCCATGAAGGTAACCATAGACATTATCTGTGTGTATGATGTGGGCATGTATGTCTTAGAATAGTGCATCCATTATTATATCAACTTGAACATTAGTTGCGTTGGGAAACAGGAGATTAGTGCTTCATCGTGATCTTAACCTTTTGTCAATCCACTGCTGGATGAGGACCCTTTATACCGTGTTTGTCATGGTTTTTCATATCATACCTCAGCATGCAGGTCACTACGTGTTGGTGAAAGGGGTCACAGAACAGTTAAAATATCGCTCGCCAGTCACTGCGTTTTTAGTACGGTGCACTAACCACTCTGCCACGATGCCCCCTGCAATTATTTACTGTGTGTAAAATCAATGCTGCATTAACGTAACTCGTTAATGCGACATTGATTGTTGTGGCCGGCTTTCAAAGGGTCCTGGTTGCTTGCCTTGGTAAAATCTCACTCTTCATGCTTGAGTAGCATTCGTGCCAGAACCCAGCAGTAATGGATAGCTTCATGCACGCTCAGAAGCACGTTGTGAGCGGCAGGCTGGGCTTGACGGTTATGAGACTCGTCAGCAGTGCTGCAATGGCAACATTAAAAAACAAAACCTTGACTAAAATTTCAAATATATATTCCCACCATCATAAGCGGCACTACATTAAACAAAAACTACAAGAACATAGCATGCTTACTGGAAATATTTAAACTGAAATATACTCAAGAATAAAGCGCCTTGCTTATTCAGACTGTGACTTACCTCCATTGTGAGTCATAGCGTTTATAATGCCACTGTTAACAATATATCACTGCATTCCCTCCAATGTCGTTGATTAAGCAGTTTCAATGGCCGATCGAGAGAAGTCTGTGTGGACAGTGTTGCTCGCGAATGCGTGGGCCGCAGATAGGGTGGCTGTGATATTGCAGGACTACAATAAATCAAGCGATGTAATATCCGTGATATAATTGTGCCATCCATTTTCTAAATATCTTTGGTAATTGTCGGGGAGAGACAAGGGAGGCATTGACACCAGAGATGGTGCCCAGGTGTCTTGGAATTATCCACAAACCACGGCACCAGCGTGTGGGCACCACCCTTCTTAGCCTGCAGCAACCTTCACGAGGGAATGATCTGCTTGCAGCCTCGCCGTTGATTCCATCGTCTGCTGCAGCCTGAGAATAATCTCTCGGTCCCTTGTTTGTGGTGCTTGTCACAAATGACATCTTGTTGTGTTTTTTTGGGGGATTAAAACTGCAGCAAAGCTCCCTTTCATCTGGCAAAATATGTGAGGTGTTTTAACTGTTTGCATGAAATAAGGATATCCCCAGTATAAATAATAATATTCAACCCTTTTGTTGATACAATGCTGGATGAAGGCCTCCCCATGCTATGGCTCTCATGGGGATTTAAAAAAATCTTACTTCACCATGCCGGTCAGTGTGAGTAGGTGAATCTGGGAGAGGGCAGGGGCGATTCTAATATCGCTTGCCAATGATCTTGACCATGGCTGGGAATCCAATACGGATTTCGTGGTTAATAACACAGCACGGTAACCACTGCACAATCACTGGAATTAATTACCAAAACCAGAGCAGGCATGTATCAGAATTAAGCACAAGACGAAATTTTACATCTTGGTTTTTGTGCGATGATTGGTTGACTGAGCTGAGATCATCAGCTCACTGCCCTAGAGAACTCCAGTTAAATCACGGACAGTTGCCAGGATTCGAACCCAGAACCTCGGTGGTGCCGGCTCAGCACTGACCACTGAGCCACCTGGCCACATCATTATCCTTGCAAATTTTGTTAACTTCCAACTCATGACCACTAAGCCATTAATCAATTTGGCATGAAGTCTGTTATTATTAATGTATCATCTTGCTCTTTTATATGATGCATTACAGTCTGTGGCCCAGGAGTGATTAATTATACATTGGTTGTTGCAGTAATACTGGTTAAAGTGATTCGTGTTCTGTGTTTAAGTCAGGGTGCAAAGCTTGTTAACTCTTACACATCTGAATGAATGCATTTCTCTGAATCACGTAGATGGGGCTGCATGAGACACTTATCTGCTGGGCAGTAAGGTACCTGCACGGATAATAATAATAAACCCACAAACAAAAACCTTGTAAAAGACCCAATGCAGAAGATCCCTGGTTTTGATCTACCGTAATGCTCATGTTCCACCCTAAACCGCATCCACACAAAACACGGCAGATGCGGATACCTGATGCACAAAAGGAAAATTGAAAACTCTCCAGTAGCAGTGTGCGACTGTGGTCATCCAGAACAGACCGTACAACGTGTAACGATGCATGGCCTGATCCACAAATACGAAAGAGGCATAACAGGGATGATAGACTCCGCTGCTGCTGACGCAGTTACCTCGCTTGACCACCTGAATGTGAAATTGTAGTTGCTCTGCATCTACGTAAACCGTATGAAAGAAGGGATAACACAGCGAATAGGTCAATGTGTGATCCACTAGGAGTATTTGAAATGCCTATTTGGGCCTCGGGAAACTTTTTCCTGTCTGTCTTAAGACGATAATGTGTAAAAATAAGAGAACCTTTGCTGGGGTTCTGTTCTATAACCTTTTGTATTCAAGGCCTGTGCTACCATCTGGGGTAAACGGATTGTTATGGCATCAGCCCAGTAGCCATTGATAAGTCAAAGCCCCATCCTTAATGTTTCTGTGCACCTAATTTATTCTGGCCCAGTTTTGGACTGTGCACAATAGATGAAAAGAATGCATTAGCCCTTTCAACTCGGCAATGTGTGCTGTGGTTAGAGCGCAAAATTACCTCCTATTAGGCACTCTTGTGATCTTTATAGCACTGCATCAACATATTGCCTGGCTTTAGGAGTATTCTCTCAAGTATTGTTTCAGTTTGAGTAATTTACTAAAAACAAAAGCATTATACATGCTTTCAAGATAACCGATGTCTCTAATACACTATGCATAAGGCCAGTATAATTGATAATACACTATGCATAAGGCCAGTATAATTGACAGTAATTTCTGTACTTTTATAATTTGGTACTGCTCCCCCTAATTGGCTGACAATCCGCAGCATCCCAGGTAGGCGGTGCCTCAAGGTTTAGCCTCATAGTGAGCGGCTTCCATGCTACGCCGTTGCAGTGTCTGTGTTGACAGGGTCTACAGGACAGGAGTGGACGTGCAGTTTGGCCCGGGTTCAAGTGCCCATGATGAATGTGCATTCTGTGTGTATTTCAGATGACAGGGCTGGACATAGACAAGGATCAGATTATTGAGATCGCTTGTGTCATCACCGACTCCAATCTCAACATCATTGCGCAAGTGAGTTACGATTCCTGCCTACTGCGATGGAAGACAAATTGTTTTACTGCCTCTTGTGCCAATGCAACATTTTACCCATCTATATGTAATGCAGTATTGACAGTAATTGCTGTTGCATGCATTTAAGAGCAGCTGTCATTTGGCATGTATGTTCCCTTTTACATTGCTTATCCATTATACTTGCTTAACATACAAACCAATACTAACTGGCTGGCGTATCATACCTTTCATTGCAACCACAGTCTAATGTATCCCTCTAACACCGTCCTTGTTTGAGCAGTTGCTGTTAAAATGTCTGCGCATTACAAACCCACAGTCTCGCCACGACAATGTACAGATATTATGCAGAATGGATTAGTGTATCATGTGTATGCAATTGCTTCCAAGGGAGACATTGCAAAGGCGGGCGATCGTGTAGGTGTCAGCGGTGTTGTAGCGGTGCTCTAACCTTGTTGAATTTATAGTTGTTCCACTCTGGGGGGCACTGTTGCTCATGCCACAAATGGGTTCTATCAATGGGACTCTGCCATGAATTATAAAGAGGGCTGTGCCACTCATTAAAATTTTATCCGGTATTCTAAATCAGGAAACCCACACTAAATAATGAAATGAATATTAAAATATAGAGATCTGGGCTCGCCACAGCAGAATTGTTAACTCCCTTCCCCATTGGCTCATTTTCAGCATGGTTTATTGACGGTGAGTGGGGTTTTCCAGAAGGCGTCCTGTTTGTACCTCGTGATGCTTAGCACCCCCTGCTCCTTCACCTGCCTTTCCGACGCCTCCTACAGACCCACGGACTCGCATAGATACCCATGGACTTGCATAGAGACTCACAAACACACTCGCAGAGACACACTGACTCACGGATACCCTCGGACTCCCATAGAGATTCACACACTCTCGCATATAGACTGACAGATTCACACAGACACAATGGCTGGTGGATAGAGAGCTGCTGGGAACTGGGGGCCATAGTTTCGGTACATCAGCCATGGTGGGGGGAGTATGACCATACTTCACCACACTGGTCAGTGTGGATTGGTAAAAAGAAATTCAATTGGCTGCTCAGCCCTACATATAATTTATTTAATTTTATACCTACGTGACTTTACCGAAAGAACCAAAGAGTGTGGATCCCTGCAGTCACGAAAACTTCAAATCTAGATGTAATTAATTGTATACAAATATGAGTACATTTGAGTTGATTATCACAGTATTTGAAACAAAGGCGAATACTTGATGCAACCTTCTTTGGTTCTTTCGGTAAAGTCACGTAGAATGAGAATAAAATTATAAATTGATAAAATAAAATAACACAATAATATTCTCACGACGTGACTTTACCAAAAGAACCAAAGAAGATGAATCATTGCAGTCACGAAAGCTTTAAATCGAAATTTGATGCAACCTGATATTTATTGGTTCTGCACTGTAATAAGTAGCCTGATGAGTCTATGTTATTGCCACACTCACCTCTTCCGATAGATCTCAATGGACCTGACGTCTGTGCAGACATTTATTTAGCACGGCCCATAGATTGGTTGTATCTCAAAAAGGCCAGATCATAGCAGCCTTAAGGTCAAATTTGCAAATGAACAAAAATGTATAAAACTGGCAAGACCTTAGCATACTTACATTACATTAATTTAAAAAAACCCAGTTTTTCCGCCAGTGCATGAAGGTTCTCAGAGACGTTTGTCTTTGCCACTAGCGTGATAATATTTGAATTCCGTTAGTATCGCAGTTGGGTTTAAAGTAATAGAACGTAGAAATGCTTAAAGAAGACGGCGCAGATCACGTAGGCAGCCATGCTGAACTCCGCCACACAGGAATCTCTTTAGCCTCCTGTGTTGTGCCGAGCAGAGGGCACGCTTGTACACGCGCACACGTCACATCTCATTAGACAACGCGGTTTTAAAAAATTGCTTCGTTAGTATTTTGTGATTGAGTTAACGCAGACTCTTACAGAAACTGTCTTCTAACGGGGATCTTTATTATTCACAATAAGGGGCTTGATGACACAAATTTCGATAGAAGCAACTCCCTCAAAGGTAAATCATAAGTCGTACAAACACAAAATTGTGTTGTTTTGCTGAGCTTGTGGAAAATAACATTAACTTTAGTAATATTGTGCTTGTCCCATAATTTCGCAAATTCATAGAGTTTAACAGTACCGTCTTATCGCCCCGGAGAACCCACAGGCATTATGAGATGAGGCGTTAACACTTAAATATTCATACGGATAGGTGAGGAACCTATTTCCTGGATTGGCGTCTGCTGATCACCTTGTGGCCTTGCAAGTTGGGCTTCTCATGCACACGGTGGTGTTTGCGTGACCCACCAACCTCTTCTGCATAGTGCTGATTACAGGCATGCACGCCACCAGTGTGCTTAACACATTCCGTCATATCAGTCCCAGCCCTTGAAGGCATTTATTATACAACACCTTGACCATAGGAACGTGGAATCTCCACCACTGACTCGGGCCTGTAAACGGAAGATTAGCATCACCTCAATGCTCATTTGAGCATTAAATCACTTGACTTGATATGTGGTTATACAACAGATGACACTTCTCACGTTTTTTGGAACACATCTAATATTCTCCCATGAATACTGAAGACGAGACAATGCTCGAGATGTAAGAAAACTCGCGCTTACTTACGTAAGTGCTGACCTGAGACGTGCCGTACTCTTCTGTGTGTGACGCATGTGCAGGGGCCCAGCCTGATCATCCACCAGCCGGATGAGCTGCTCGACGGCATGTCCACCTGGTGCAAGGAGCACCACGGCAAGGTACTGGGCACTTTCCACGCGTGCATGCCTCCCAGCAGCTGGGTGGCGCAGTGGTAACACTTGTGCCGCCCAGCTAAGAAGGAGGTCTTGGTTCGATTCCTGACACGAGTTTGGGGTGCCACGGACACATGATGCTCACTACCTCGCCCAGTATACAGCAAGCAGTGGGTTCGATCCCAACCCTGACTCCTGTATATTTGGAGTTATCTCCGTGGTCGCATCGATTTATCTGCTGGTCTTCTGGTTATTGCCTCCATATTTAGCAACATGCGCTTAGAGTATTTGGCTGCTATAAATTTCCACGTGATAAGCCACTTCATTGAGCTATCATTTGTGGCCAGGTCACTTCTGAAAATGGGCAATGTAGCTCAGTGGACCTTCCTTGGTAACATTAAAAAAATAGCTTCGTATAAAAACAATAGAAGTAATGTCCTTCCAGAGTCGCTATTTTAGACCGTGTGCCTGCGACAAGTGTAGATATTTTGATTTAAAGCTTTCGTGACTGCAGGGATTCATATTCTTGGTGCTTTCGGTAAAGTCACGTCGAAGGGAAACAATAAAATAATTAAAATATATAAAACAATAAAAGTCTCACGACGTTTCGACTGCAACACAAGCAATCATCAGGTGTGAAAACCACAGCAAGAAAATTTGAAAAAAGTAGCGTTTTTTTAACGTTAGCACCATGGAGAGCGATTTGGCAGTTATTCAGATGGACGAGTCCATCTATGTTCGGAAAAGAGGAGGGGGGAGACGAAAATAATGGATGCAGTCTGAAAGTCACTGTAAGCGTGAACAATCAATTAAGACCCGAAATTGTTTATCAAATCCTTCCAATGATTGCTAAGCCAGAATCCATCTTCTCGGTTGAAATTGTCTGTTTGTATATGTGGATAGCCTCATGAACGAATCTCTCATGGTAGCTACCATTACTGTAAGTTTATTATAGCCAATTTATATTTTTAGTATTATCATTTTCATATATTTAATAGCTCATTTACATATTAATTTTAGGTAATTCATTAAGATAGTTTTTTGTAGGTCAATATCATTATCCACGAAATGTTATATTCACCAGCATATCCGGAACGTAACCCTCGTGCATAACGAAGGAATCTTTTACCACCATTCAGCGTTGCACTATCTGCACTGATACAAGAATTGTAGCTTGGAGTCATAAACGAAACCATTGGTGTCTATAAGCAGAGGGAGGCTGGTTGATTTAGTAACGTGTTTCTGTAATAGTTTTGCTGGTGACCTGAAATTGTGGCCTTCAGCAGCAGAGAGATACTCTTATGAACACTTGCTTATGATGAACTGCTCCGTAGATTTTGGAAGCAGTTGCCATTATGTGCTGGGACTTAATGTTTTCAAATTCTGTGAGAGGGAGGGGGAAACTCGACGCATGAAAGAAGTCATATTTTATGTTGACAGAAATAGAACTCTTGAGTTATAGTGGAGGGAAATGTTTCCCTGCTTTTCTGGAATAATACATAAATATAAGTGCCACCAAGAACAGTTTTGTGGCTATATTACACTGCCTAAGGTATATTTGTGTTTGAGTAGCAAGTGGCACATGGAAATGCAAGAAGTGAAGGGAAGTGTCTCATCGCTGCATCAACATACCACGCTGAGTAATGGATGAGGTGTCGGTCGCACAACCAGGAGGGCGTGTGGGCAAGTTTTGTTCGGTGGTTTCACGGTATTCACAGAATTCCAGTGGGGGAGATGAGGATGACGAGGAGATGGTGGTGAAGGAGGAGGAGACAGGAGGAGGAGGAGGAGGATTGTAATGGGCGATGAACACGTCCCCATTTTCTGGGAAATGAAAATTGTATTTTGATGCATTCTTGTACAGTATTTAAAGGGGAATTTGCAAAGGTTTACATATCGATGCTCCCTATTTGTAATTGGCTTGTATAGTGTGCGTTGTATAAACATTACTTTCCAGGAGCATAGAAAGTGGACATTTATTTGAGCATTGGGTGTAAAATCAATATGATGAATGTGTTTATTATGGAGCTGTGAGATGAAGTCTGAGAGAGATGGTAAAGGTAAATTGAATTTAGAACCTGGCAGGTCTGGTCCTGTAACTAATGCCACGCTCCAATGGCTTGAAGCAAATATACTTGCGAAGCATTCCGCTTGCTTTTTTGAATAACCATTCTTCTCCAGAGGGTGCACCTACGTTTATAAAGTTACGTAAAAACTAGTGGTTAACCATTTGCTCGGAGGGAATGTGCATCGACACATGGGCTTCACTTTTATTCGGCACTTTCCCCGATTCACCATGGAGGGGCACTCGACCACGGGTCGTGAGATTGAAATCGTTGATGGGGAATCGCGTCGGGCTTGGTGAAAGCCATAAGTGCTACGCTCTGTGTCAGAGGCCATAGCTTTTTACTGGAAGGGGCGACAATGGCAGGTTTTTATGATAAACAAAATGAAGATGGGACATATGCACGATATCAACAACAGTGCATCTTATATAAAAATATCGACGTGTTTATATATACACAGGCTTCAATGTGTCCTCTAATTAACCGTCTCGTTTGTCAATGACACAGGAATCACAAATATCCTCAACACAATCCAATAGCTAGCTTGGGCAAGTAGTATAACAGTGCTAATTATATGGTCTCAGCTGTCAAGGAGAATACTATTGTAATTTTAATGACGGTGGTTTTCTTGTGATATAATAGTCATGGCCTTTATATAATTTAAAGCAGTTCCAACAACTTGTTTTACTCGTGAATAATGTGACACCAATGGCTTGGACCATTTGAACCATGATTTGTGTATGTTATTATGCACATGCATAGTCATGGCTTCGAATTCACTGGCCACATAAACCTTTACTGGATAGCCATGGATCTATTGGCAGTGAGAACGCAAGGGAGCATCATTGTTCAAGCTGGGCCTTACCATTGGAAGCAATGAGATCATCAGACGCAATTACAAAACCACCCCCACTGCCTCTGTCCACCCAGAAGTGTAAACGGGTACACACCATATTAGTTAATGTCGTGTGGTGGGGCAAAGTGTGGGTGCACCCACCTCTTCCAAGACATTTAGCGACTGTGGAAGAGTAGGCCAAAATAGTCTCTTGGGCACCCTTGGTGAGTGATGTGATGAAGAATATGCCGGGCGGCACCTTTACCCCGTGAATTCCTCTTGCCCTGCGTTGCAATTGAACACTCATTAATGGTGTTAATTGAGTTGGCGAAACATGTAAATATAGGACTACAGAGATTGGGAAATTGTTGGTACAGGTTCTGGCCACCTTGCAGCTTTTTTTGTGGTTTCACACACTTCTGAATCATTCTGTCTGCGAGAGCGAAAGGAAAACTGCGCGCGTTACAAATTCTCTAGTAATTGTTGCCATAACGTGTCGCCTGCATTCAGGTGAATGAGCACTTGCAAGCCTAGGGCCCAAGGGCACAAGACCTGAATGATCTCACTGCGGGACCTGATTGACTGATTGCACATCGTGCAGTGAGCGCCCCGACAGCAGCCATATTGCAAGCCGCCCTCTGTTCACGCGCCGCATGTTAAAATGTGGCCATTGGCACGGCGTGCGATGGTCGTTTCCACGTCACCACCCCGTGAGCACTGTTAACACGACGTACTGCCGCTGATATCGCTTTCAAATGCAGGCTGGTGTGCCCTGCCACTGCTGTGGTGAGTGACCTTATTGAGTACAGCTATTCGAGGCATTACTTGATTATCAAGTCAGTCACACAGCTCTCCTGCCTGACCTGGTTATCATGCCAGGTGCTCGCCACGGTTTGCAATCACATTCTTACGTGTGCAGCATGCAGAGGTTACTGACATGGGCAGAGCCTCATTGGGAGAGTTCGTTATCGCCCTCTCTTGCCTCTCTGTATCTACGTATGCTCAACTTCTTTCGCGACCCAACCGCGCTAATTGGAGGTGGGGCTTGTAATAACAAACTAAATAGAAAAAGCAGTTAAAAAATAGTTTTTTTAATCTAGATTTAAAAGTGCATAGCTCCAGTGGCTTCCCAATATGTTGTGAAGAAGGGCGATTGCCAAAAACGTGACCTATTATTAACTTTCTTTTATATAGCTTTTATTGAACCCGTAACTACGATCATGACAGAGGGCATACATACATGCTTGTGAAGTGTTTATAATGACGAATACAATTCTTATGGGGCACACTGTTTATTGTAATACTTCCCTTACACAGTCCATAACACACAGAGGGGTATACGGTCCCCTCACCCGATACCCTAGAAAGGTACAGCCTCCGAAGTTAGCGTGACCTACACACAGGTCTCTTCCAAACCTAAGGAGGTACAGACTCATATCTTGGCGGGACTTACTCACACGTCTACCGCTATCCTAGAGTCCTCCAGCTGGGACCTAGGGGAGGCTATCTGACCCACCGCTGGCCCGGCGGGTCTTGACCACTGGATACGCCGAGCCTTAGCCCTCAGAAGGGCTGGAAGGCTGGGTCCAGGGTCCTGGCTATCTTTGGCCCGGGCTTCGGTCTTCGTGTAGGGAGAGAACTCCCCGCGCTCTGCGCGCTCACCCTTATACCCGTTTGTGGCCAGGTGTAACCAATCCCACATTCCCACGTGGAACTGTCTGATTGGTTCTTACCAAACTGTGGCTACGATCCACTTCACCTCGTCTGACCCCAACCGTTATGTACACAGAGAGGTAACGCTGCACTGCCCCTTTGATACCTGGTGGCAATGCAGGTTACCGAATAGTGAGTAGTTAACACCTCTACACTTGCATGGTTTACTAATCTCAAGTCTGTGTTACTTTTCCTTTTTAATGTTACGGTGTTATTGCCGATTGTATTGAGGTTTTTTTTCTTATCACCAAACTTGTAACGATTTATTGGTTAAAATCAAATCTTAGGTAAAAAATCAATCAATCGACTTGTGCAGGATAATGGAATGAATGTAGCAGCACAGATGTATGTATGTTGAACTTCTTTCACACCGTTTGTAGCCATCCGTGCTGAGAGAACAAATCAGACTGATAAAAAAATATGTTGATGTTATAAACAAGACAAATATAATCATTCTGTATCGTGATAATTTACGTTTTAGCAAGTCAATGGATTGGATTATTCCTTGTTACATTATCCTCCGTTTGTCACTGTCATTTACATTATTACGTGGCGCTTTACGGACACTTGTGCCAAATTACACCGTTCCATCCGGTGTATTTTGGACTAAATACAAGGAAGACCACCCACAGCATATTGGTCACGTGGTTTGTTTGATCACACTTCACCAGTGCCGGTCAGTGCCGGTTGGCGAAGGAGGAAAACCTGGACCCTTCTTTATCACTCACCATGACCTGGAATCAAGCTGGGGTTGGCAGGTTCATGGCACAGTTCGGTAAGAATTGCGTCACCGCTCCGTCTTCTAATTTGGTCTGTTTACGACGGTAAATTTCCACACAGCCTCTTTGTTCCGCTGTTTTGGATAGACGAGTGATTTTACACACGCATTGCCCAGGTTAGTTTTGCCCCGGTGGTGGTGGTGGAGTCTCACGGCGCCCGCTCGTGGGACCGAGTGCCACCCTGTAGATAATTATCACGTGACTGCGTTTCTTGATTACTCCATAAAGGATTTTAGGGACAGCTACAGTCCGTATAGGATGCTTACATGGTGTAATGGTTCGTGCTTTTGACTTATCCACCCAGCTTTTAAAATTGTTACACTGTAGGTAGTCGGCCACCTCCTACAAGATATCTGGCTGGTGTGGAAGAGTAGGCCAAATGCTCTCTAGATGTTCCCTCTCGAGCTCCCTCTACTGGAGGCCCCTCTGCCACCAGTGGAGTGAGCGTGCAACTGGATGCGGCTACTGTGCGTTGCATCGCTATCTCAACAGGGGAAATGACGTGAGCCTTAAGGCCTCCCACTGTTTAGTGTCGTGGAGTGCAGGAGGCGCCCGGTGACATCTGTATCCCAAAAACACTTGGCATGGACGTTGTACATTTATCACCGCTGTGCCCATGTTCCAATGATTAAATAATTATGGGAGCCTGTCCAGCTGATGTCATGGGAGAAATCGAACGAAATTTAATATTGACTTAAAATTTTCGTGACTGCAGGAATTCATATTCTTTGTGTCTTTCGGTAAAGTCACGTAGATAAGTTCAAATTAATAAAAAATAAAATAAACTACGACGTTTCTATCACTCCACAAGCGATCGTCATCCTCCTGATCCTCTTGATGACGATTGCTTGTGTTGTGATCGAAACGTCGTAGTTTTTTTGTTCACTTGAATTTTTTTTTTATTTGAACCTATCGACGTGACTTTACCGAAAGACCCAAAGAATAGATATAAAATATTTTCGGTCCAATATGCGTTGTTGCGTAACAGCGCCCCCCTGCTCGTCAAATTGCTTGTAACGGAGTGTGGGCACCACGGCGGAGAGTGAGCAAGCCCTGCACTCGGCGATGGTGGCGCCCACTTCACCTCCCTTGTGGAAACACGGGGCGAGAGAGCACTTGCTGCCGAGTTGAGGCAGCATCGGCAGCGTCTGTCGCTGCAAGCAGCTGTCCAGAGGTCTGCCCCTGTCAAGTACAGCCGCGGATCGTTTGAAACGATTCACACCAACACATGCGAATTCTAATTTCTGCAGCACGGCAGTGCTGATGGAGACGCGATCTACCGAGTGAAGAAAATGTGTGCAAGCAGGGAACATGTCTATGGCTCCCTGCCTGTTATCATCGGCCATGCTCAATCCACTGCTGGGTGAAGGCCTCTCCAAGACGTCGCTGTCTCTCACGACGCTACGGTGTAATAATCCACCGAGCACCCACACCTGAGATAATTTCGCATTTATTTCAAAGCAGATATTTCCCCACAAATACAACGTGAACAAATGATTATTTGCAATATGTGGGTAAATATTAAGCAATGCGCCGCGAGCGGTTTTGCCAGTGGAAGTTCAGTGTTAACTAATACACTTGGATTTAATGTCTTTCTTAATGAGAAAATATGAAACTAATTATTCATGGTCAGTGGCTTGAAACCTACTCTCAGAAAACCGGCAGACCAATTTGAGGTCATTACTATACATCATATTGAGTTTAATTTTTTAATCACACCGCGAGGAGACTTTCCCCGCTTTAACTAACAGTATTTCAGGATCTCATACACGCCTATTAGGTTGGCCAAATGGCATCGGTAAGTGTAAAGCGAGAATTTTTGTTAAATCAAAGGAGTCCACGCAAATTAGCAGCTCGGTATTTTAATGTACTCCCCATGAAAAGCATCTAAATAAGTACACGGTGAATTAATGCGTCAACCCATGCCAACCGTTGTCATCGCCGGCCCACTGCATGCCACAGGGAAATTTAAATGTAAAATGCTTCTTTTCTGATACCACGAGGTCTCCCTGCTATCCATAATAGTCTTTTTTGGGTTAAATGGCGTAAATATAAATGTGTCTTGATTGAAAGCTTTCGTGACTGCAGTAATTCATATTCTTAGTTTTTTCGGTAAAGTCACGTTGAAGAGAAACAACAAAATAATAAAATATATATAAAACAATAAAAAATTCTCACGACGTTTCGACCATAACTCAAATGGTCATCTTCAGGTGTGTTGGTTTGCATAAATTTATTTTTAAACGGCGCATTTATTTATTTATAAAAAAAAACGTTAGCGCCACGCGCAGCGATTTGGCAGTTTACCCAGGACTAGTCCATCTATATTCTGAAAAGAGGAGGGGGGAGACGAAATTTTTTATAATGTATGCTGTCTGAAAGCCACTGTAAGCGTGAACAATCAATTAAGAACTGAAATGGTTTATCAAATCTTTCCAATGATTGCTAAGATAGAATCCATCTTCTCGGTTGAAATTGTCTCTGTGCTTGTATATGTGGATAGCCTCATGAACGAATCTCTCATGGAAGCCAGATGGCTTACAAAGAACCTCTGTCTTGGAAAAGTCAATGGCATGTGAGCCTACTGAATTAGAACAATGATCTGCTACGGCCGAGGTGTTGGTCCTACCGTGTTTAAGGTCTGCTTTGTGTTCACGAATGCGGTCCGAGACATGGCGTTTGGTTTCTCCAATGTAACTACTACCACAGAGGCAACTTAGTTTGTAGACACCAGGGTATTGTATGTCCGGAATCACATATTTTACAGACGGAACCAGATCACGGATTTTATGTAATGTGTTGAAACGGACCTGGATCTTGTGTTTATTCAAGATTTTGGAGATCTTTTTTGTGATCCCAGCAATGTAGGGTAAAGTGATGGTTTTGAAAGGCTCCTCAAGAGGGTTCTTCTTCATGGTTTGAGTGATAGCTTTGCGGATTGTATAGTCGGAGTAACCATTAGCCCTAAGAGCTTGGTGTACGTGAGAAGAATTCTCTCATCAAGACTCTGTATCATAGAGCACAATGCATATCCGACCAGGAACACATAAGCAGTGAACTCAAGAAGAATTCTCTCATCAAGACTCTGTACCATTAGCCCTAAGAGCTTGGTGTACGTGCTTGAGTTCACTGCTTATGTGTTCCTGGTCGGATATGCATTGGGCTCTATGATACAGAGTCTTGATGAGAGAATTCTTCTTGAGTTCACTGCTTATGTGTTCCTGGTCGGATATGCATTGTGCTCTATGATACAGAGTCTTGATGAGAGAATTCTTCTCACGTACACCAAGCTCTTAGGGCTAATGGTTACTCCGACTATACAATCCGCAAAGCTATCACTCAAACCATGAAGAAGAACCCTCTTGAGGAGCCTTTCAAAACCATCACTTTACCCTACATTGCTGGGATCACAAAAAAGATCTCCAAAATCTTGAATAAACACAAGATCCAGGTCCGTTTCAACACATTACATAAAATCCGTGATCTGGTTCCGTCTGTAAAATATGTGATTCCGGACATACAATACCCTGGTGTCTACAAACTAAGTTGCCTCTGTGGTAGTAGTTACATTGGAGAAACCAAACGCCATGTCTCGGACCGCATTCGTGAACACAAAGCAGACCTTAAACACGGTAGGACCAACACCTCGGCCGTAGCAGATCATTGTTCTAATTCAGTAGGCTCACATGCCATTGACTTTTCCAAGACAGAGGTTCTTTGTAAGCCATCTGGCTTCCATAAGAGATTCGTTCATGAGGCTATCCACATATACAAGCACAGAGACAATTTCAACCGAGAAGATGGATTCTATCTTAGCAATCATTGGAAAGATTTGATAAACCATTTCAGTTCTTAATTGATTGTTCACGCTTACAGTGGCTTTCAGACAGCATACATTATAAAAAATTTCGTCTCCCCCCTCCTCTTTTCAGAATATAGATGGACTAGTCCTGGGTAAACTGCCAAATCGCTGCGCGTGGCGCTAACGTTTTTTTTATAAATAAATAAATGTGCCGTTTAAAAATAAATTTATGCAAACCAACACACCTGAAGATGACCGTTTGAGTTATGGTCGAAACGTCGTGAGAATTTTTTTTATTGTTTTATATATATTTTATTATTTTGTTGTTTCTCTTCAACGTGACTTTACCGAAAAAAACTAAGAATATAAATGTGTCGTTAAAACCCGCCACCACCTTACACAGCCAACTTAGTAAGGTTTGTCACATAAACAGAACATGGCAATTCGTTAATAGTATAGCACACCGGTCTGTTGGAGAGTAAATCCACAACATTTACAATTTGAGTACGACGTTGTACCAGTAATTACAACCGGCATCATCAGGCGATAGCCAGATTTGTGAAGAAATCTTTCTGTTGCACTGCTCTGTCTACCCCCCATGACCTACATTCCCGGATTCCTGAAACTGGATATTAAGCCTCAAAGTAGCCTTTTGTTGTTGTTGTTGCGCTTATTCTCTTAACGGTGATCCTTGTCCCTTTGTCTCTCATTCTTGCCCACCAGTCTGGACTGACCAAGGCGGTCCGTGAGAGCCAGGTCTCGCTCCAGATGGCCGAGTACGAGGTGCTGTCGTTCGTTCGGCAGCACACGCCGCCCGGGGTGTGCCCTCTGGCAGGTGAGCGTCGGGGGGGTTACCGTTGCCGCCTGGGCGTTGCCGTGCCGTACAGCTCCTCTACCCCTATGCGTTCTCTCAACTGTGCCGCGAATACCAAGTGCAGCACGATGCCCGACGATTTGCTCCGTTTGCCAGGAAGCATCTTCGGCAGACGAGCCGATTCATTTTCCCCGACGAAGACTCGCGGCACGTGAGACGATTTCAGTTGCCGCAGCGGCTCTCAAGCATGCGGAGCGAAACTTCGGACGTAGTGCCTTCCGACACGTGGTACAAACCGAAAACTCAGTGGGAGAGCAGCTGTCTGCATAGCTCTGTTCATGTCCCGTGGGAGGGTCCTTATCACGAGCACAGACTCACGAACCTGGCATCCGGATGTCATGGGCTGTGTTGCACTTCCTCCGGTGTTTACGGTAAAGCTCATCCCAGCTGATGTTGGTGGTGCCACAGGTAAGAGATTTTTTTTTCAGGTGAGAAGAAATTGCTGTGATGATGGTTTCAGGGGCCTGTCACGTTTATCTGCAATGCAGAGTTGTCCATGTTTCCAGGGCATGACACACATCTCGTATACCTTGTGAGATGCATGTGATGCGATGCTAGACGTTTTTGTATTAAAAAAACAAGATTTCGTACTGATATCACTCTGCATTGAAAAGTATAGATTCCCTAACCTTATATTCTTAGCTCTTTCGGTAAAGTCACGTTGAAGGGAAACAATAAAATAATAAAAAATATATAAAACAATAAACTTTGTCGTCACAGATTGTGTCAATAAATAATATTTTAGGACATTTTGTATTTGCGCCATTATAGCACAAGGCTATCACAAATGGGCTTTGTTTGGCAGACATAGTCTAATAGTTTTACATTAGTGGCCAATGTTGCTATGTATGATCCCAATTGAGTAGTATGAATTTAGAAAATTCGGACCAAGACCCCTGGCACAAAGTGGCCTACTCTTGTTGAATTCCGTAACGGGATCTCTAACTTCCACTGTGCAGCAGCGGGCGCGTCGTATCTTACGGTTCATCGATCCGCGTTAATAACCAGGGCGGCTTGTCGGAGTTTGAACCAAGAACCTCTGCAACGAGTTTCTGCTCGTCCGAGCGCCCCTTGCCGCCGTGTGTTTTGACGAGCTCAGCATTCGGCTGATGCCGCCTTCCTCTTGGCTTCAAAGACGTTCGGCTCTACAATGAGCGGAGCGTTGCCAGACAGGCGATGTTGTCGCCAAAAATCTCTGAGAGGAAGGATGTGAAATAATAGCTTCAATCAGTGATGCCCCACAGTGTTGCAGTGAACCTTAATGATGATAGGTTGTTACTGCATCGCGTGCTTTCACGTGTGCTTCTGCGGCCGTCTGGAACGCACTCTTCCTTACGATATTAGGAAGCCACTGGAGCTATGCCTCTTTTAAATCTCGATTGAAAACTCAGTTCTTTAGAACTTTAGAACTGAGTTTTGTGTTTAGTTTGTTGTCCTTCCCCCCGCACCTCCGATTCGCGCGGTTGTCTACGTACTGTGCGAAAGAAGTTCAACAAAAATTCATACAGACAATGCAAGATCTACTGTGAAATGGCCCAGCGCTAGTCGGTCCATTCGCCGCTTGTTGCAGAGGTTTGCGGTTTTGAATCCAACAGCCCACCCTGGGTGTATTGACCACCAAACACTCCCCGTCTGCGTCACAGACGTCAAATAACCCTCGAACGTCATAAAAACGAGTAGGCAATTGTGTTCCGGCATCATGGTCCAACTTTTAAAAAAAATACTTGCAAATTATTCACCTGGGATTACCCAGACATCGTTTTCCTCCGACTGGAAGGCTAATGCCGCTTGCAGGCCAGGTGCTAAGTCACCTCGCGCCCAGACAGGGACTGCTGCTGCTGCCGTCCCTGGGGGGTGTCCTTTCAAACATTTTAGATGAGATGTGATGTATAGGACGCTCTATCAACAATACATCACCATTATTACTACGGAAACTAACTCCAGCAACTATACACAATGCCTTCATATCACGTCGAGATTTCATCGCACATGCAATTTGTTCTTATGTACTTTATTTATCTTTATTTATTTGAGTGACTTTCTTTTCTCTATTTTGCACTTATATCCTTTTTTATATTGTTTATTAGTGTAACTTGCTGACCTCGCCCCACCTGGACATCTGTGAAAAAGAGCTTCATAACTCATCGGATTTCTCCGGCAGTCTAAATACTGATTCCGATTCTATATTTTGATCACATGCTTGATTAATAGTGTTGACGTTAAATGCCTTGTAATATCTCGAGCACGAGATTGAGCTGTTTAATATTAATCCCATTACTTGAAGTTTGCTGCTGTCAAGCTGCAGTACAAGTGTCGTGTTTTATGCGTGTAAACATCTTCCCTGCTTCTCGATTTAAGTCTTGTTGCCCTTCAGCTATCACTCATGTGCACACTAGTCATACACTTAAGGCCATTTTGCCTTGTAATATGCCTTGAGATACGGCTACAATTAGATTCTAAAGTACAGACCGGTGTTGTATGTATGTTCCCATTTAGTCACTGTTGAATACTGTCAGATAAAAAAGGCGAAATTTTTCATCTTCCCCAGGCCAACTAAATGTATGCATGTTGCAAGGGGCGCTCGCACGAGTGGAAACTCTTTGCAGAGGTTCGCGGTATGAATCCGACAGGCCACCCTGGTTATTACTGGCGGGTGTACGAACCATTAAATACTATGCACATTAGAGATCCCGTGACGTAATTCAACAAGAATAGGCCATTGTATGCCCGGGGACTTTGTCCGAATTTGATCAATTCACTTGTTGAATGTAGCCATCCGTGCTAATTCGAGGTCCAAAAGGACATTCGGCAAAAAGCACTGCTTCTAAACATCGATGCTGCGACGAACGTTCGTGTGTCCTGCTGTAGGTGCGTGCTAAGTTCTATTAACATAAATTCACGTGTTGAACCTCACCAACCGTGCCCAACAGAGGTCCAAAATGACATCTGGCAAAAAGCACTGCCTCTAAACACAGATGCTGCGGCGAACGTTTGTGTGTCCTGCCGTAGGTGCGTGCTAAGTTCTGTTAACATGCCCATGTGTATACTGTGTGCGCAGAGACACATGTGGTCTCATCAAAATGAGAAGGGAGCGGCACAATTATTACACAATGTTGACTTCTCGCATTGCTCTTCCTTGATGAATGGCAAAGGAGCATTTGTCACGATTGGGCCCAATATGCACCCACAACCTGGGAGCATAATACGGAGAGAGGTCTCTTGCAAAAATGTTGTTTGTGTGCTTCAATCACTGACGTTCACGAGGTGAAACTGCGGTCAATGCATGCCCTCTCCCCCCCTGCCATGCTAAATGCCCTCCACCCAACTAAAAAATAAACAAAAACATTTACCACTCTCCAAAGTTGTTGGGCCAGGGTCCCCGTTGCTTTCTTGTACTTTCAAGCTGTGAATCCAATTTTCAAGTTTTTACAACAGCAGTGGCTTTAAGCAAAAATAATCATGCTTGCTGAGCACAGGGCCTCATGACCAGTAGCCTGCAACAGATAGCACTAATTCAATTGTAATATATAAGAGTTAACACATTTCTCTATTTTTAATAGAGGCAGTACGCGGGCCCGTTACTTCACGTTGTGACGCACGTACACACTGTCAACATAAACTAAACCGGTTATATAAAGCAGGGGATAGATGGGGAACGAACACGCTGCCCAAAACCAGACGGGTCCCCACCGAAAGGGGTAAGGGGCAGTTTTTTTTAAGTAAGGGAGGGGGGATGCCGAAACACGCCTGAAATAAGGAAAAGAAAAACATTATAGACGGCCTGGACGAGCGTGTTTACCTTCGACCGCTCTGAGTCCGGCTCCCGTCTAATCTGCAGGGGTTTGTACCCCCTTATCCTCGGTCCCTGTCTCCCGACCCTCCATCCAGCTAACTGATTTGAGATGTTGTATAAAAGGGGGACCATCTGGCCTCGAATTTCCCCTCCAGAGTTAGCACATTTCTTAAATCGAGCACAGCTGTAAACACTTTGTAATAGAGATGATAGGGAGGGAATTCTAAAGTGGAGTGGTTCGAGGGAAGAAGCCGAAAGGGAAGTGTTGTGGCCTCAGGTGTTGTGGCCTGCAGTGTTGTGGCCTCAGGTGTTGTGGCCTGCAGTGTTGTGGCCTCAGGTGTTGTGGCCTTCAGTGTTGTGGCCAGGAGTGTTGTGGCCCGAAGTGTTGTGGCCTACAGTGTTGTGGCCTACAGTGTTGTGCCCTACAGTGTTGTGGCCTGCAGGGTCTGTCTGGTGAACTGAGACTTCCAATTTCGGTGGAGGAATCAGTGACTTGTCATTTGTCAGGATGGAACACTGCATTTCACGTTTTGTCGTTTTTACATCACTCAGCAGTTTTTAATCTATCGCAAAGACAAAGGCGTCCGACGTTTCGAGTTGGAGACCATTGGGGCAGTGCTGATTGCCCATGCCTGTTAGGTCTTGTTGGAATTGTTACTCAATCCCGAAGTTACCACAATGCACCTCATACTCATTAACTGACCTCGGGGAGAATTAGCTTAGGTCCATATTTGGTGGCCTACCTAATATTTAGAAGTTTGATGACAAGCGTTGGTGGGTCACAGGGACATGTGAAACTTGATAACCTCCCCGACGTGCGAGTTTGGCAGGAGATGGGAGTACAGTGAATTCATTCGGCACGCTTTGAAGTTGGTGTCCCCTAGTATGCCTGGATTTTCTGCCACATGAAACAGAAATTCTGTCAAACATTCAATTGCAGAACCCTCCTGAAAATGCCGTGACACTCATTGAGGCTTTGCTGGATAAATACAAAGGATTATTCACTATTATTCTTGTGCACAAATTGCCAATCCCTGGATATGCACCATGTGCATTATGCATATCCAGGAATTGTGCATAGGTTGCTGGAATAGTGGCTTAGTGCTCTAATCCAGTGCTCGCAGTTATTCACGAGGCTACCACCTGCACGTACACATACAGGCTGCGTTGGTGCTTGTATGCGTGCGTGCATCTCTTGTCAAATACTAATGCAGTTGTACCCTTGAAATATATAAAATTGTATTTATGGCCAGTCCGTTGGAGGATTTTGATATGCACTCTCTCCAGATGCCCTTTACAGTCTTAATTTTATTTCTAAAATAAAAAATGAGCAGCCTTGCATAAATTAGGACGATGCTCGTGAGAGAATGCAATCGTGTTGTGTGCAGGTGCTGGGTGGAGTATTCCATTGCAGGATCGTGAGAGGGGGCAGTGGCTTGGGGAAGGCCTTCATCCAGCAGTGGATTGACCATGGCTGATGATGAGGATGAATGAGAATTCAGAGAGAATTTCCTCTAACACAATCATTATAATGCATCATATATCTTGATGACAGTTGTAGATATATATAATGCACTATAAACCTATAAATACATCCTAAATTTTAAATAACAACGACATGAGTTTAAACATGTTCATTTTGATAAACATTGATAATAGTGGCTGAACCCACCTGTTCTCGACATCTCGTATATGCTACAGTTGTCCCCTAGAATGAAGTATATTTGTCATTGAAAAAAATTGTTAATGATAACATCACAGGCCGGATTTTAAATTATACCCTGACCCTGTTGATTTAAGAATTCCAGATGAATAGCCTTGAGCGATGCTGTGCGGTGCAGCGGAAGCAATTTTGGGACCCCGCTGTAACGGCGGACAAATTGTCGTTGTTCTGATGAGACAAAGCGCGCACGTGATCAATGGTGCACTTTAAATTACACGACGGTGGAGAGGCGGCGGTGGTCCCCGGCGACACACGGAAGAGAGAGGAGGGAGAGGAGAGAGGAGGGAGAGGAGGGAGAGGAGAGAGAGGAGGGAGAGGAGGGAGAGGAGGGAGAGGAGAGAGAGGAGGGAGAGGAGGGAGAGGAGGGGCAGGGTGCTCGCCGATCTCGCCCCTGCAGGCGTGCGTCGAGGTGGCTGTGTGGAGCCGTAGCTTGGTGGTCACGTATGTATGTGTGTATGTACGTATGTTAAACTTCTTTCACACCGTACGTAGCCAACCGAGCTAATCGGTGGTGCAGGGGGAAGGACAACTAACCAAACACAAAAAGCAGTTCTTAAGGAATGAGATTTCAATCTAGATTTAACATTAGTGTGATTATCTGAACCAGTCTTGGGCCTTGCCTAGGTCCACTCGGTCATAATGCGTCTTATCTATACTCTTTGGTTATTTCGGTAAAGTCACGTAGGTATAAAATAAAATAAACTTTCTACCTACGTGACTTTACCGAAAGAACCGAACAGTATGGATCCCTGCAGTCACGAAAACTTAAAATCTAGATTGAGTCTTATCTATATTATTATCAAGGTTTTTGAGCATAGCCATGAAGGCCCAAATTCCATGTAAGCCAGAAACAAACTGCGCTATTAAAGTTGGATAGATAAGCCTTTGTATGTTTCGGTATCTGGTGCAGTGTAAACACCAGCACTGGGGAAGCAGAAATGGCCCGGGTGTGGTGTTGGCCACATCACCCGCGCGAGTGCTTGCCAATAGCACTTGCCCCAACAGCCTGTGTAGGCTATATGGGGGATCTCTACCTTAGCACAGACTGAACGCTGCCTGGCTGAGCTGTGTGTTGTGCATTCTGCACGGTGCATGCCTCGACAAAAGAAGCACACTCTGCCTCGGTTAATGCACGTTGCACACAGATGTCTCGATTATCATCAGCCACGATCAATCCACTGCTGGATAAATGCCTGCCCAAGCACTTGCTAGGCTTAACCCAGTACTACTTCTGACATCTGATGAGATGAGGAACATTTTGACTTGTGTTTACTTGATCCCGTTTGCCGTTTTTGAACGGCGGTTGTTGCACTTGATTGTTTCCGTTTTAATGGCTCTTAACCGATCCGGTGCCCAGAACGACTTTTTCCACGTGCGCTTCCCTCCCGCGCTATCATTGAAGCTCTCAATATGTCTCTTTATTTTTTATCGCCCATTTTGCCTCCTCTCTGGTGCCTGTGACAAGTGCAAGGACGTACTGGGCAGTTTTGTGAGCAGTCACAGACACCGCCCATCAAACTCTCCCACATAAGAGCCCTGTCTTGCTCCAGGAGACACCATTCTCTTTCCTTGTTAAGAAACGATTGAGAGCTCCTCAAGATACGTTGGCTCTTCTTTTCAAGAAAGAGCTGGTTTGGGTTTTTTTTCTACATTGATACTTGCTCCTTGACCCATGGAAACAAAGGTATCACTTTGCAGTGGAGTGATCAACGTTAAAGTGGGGGTCATATAAGACAACGTGCATAACGTTTTACGTGAAATTGTCAAAGGCATGTTTATTTGTTTATACTAGAGGACTTGTTACTGGGCAGAAAATGTGATTGAACTGCATAAAGGAAGCTGGCGCGGTTTTGCAGAGGAGAATGCCAAGACCGGCCGACAGCAATTCGCGGGCACGTTGTCAAGGAAGGGCTGAATAAGCTAAAGTTAGACTGAACGTCGTCTCACCGCATTACACTCACATTGAACGTTGGAGTGAGTGAATAATACACTTGTGCAGCTAAAGGAAGGAGTACGTATATATTTTATTTTGCCCATGAACAGTCCGGAGGCAGGACACCAACAAGGGTCCGTGTGGGATGGTCGAGAGGAGGCTGAGCCAAGTGGTTCTCCAGGGTTGAGAGGTCGAGCGTGGGAGGGCACGAGGTGGCACTGCGTGGGGGAGTGACTGAGGGAGCGATGCGAAGTCTGGTCTCCTTTTGCGTTGTCGGTCTCCGCTTGAATGCGCAGCTGCCTAAAGCAGACGATGAAGTGGTGAATCATACAAAAAAACGAAACTTAAAACCAAACTTTTTATTTTACCAGGTAAGGCCCACTGAGCTATATAGCTACTTTTAGGAAGAGACCTGGCCACAAATGATAGCTCAACAAAGTGGCTTATCTCGTGGGAATTTTCAACAACCACATTCTCTAGCGCATATCGTTTCTATATGTGGAGGGAAAAACCAGAGGACTCGGAGAAGAATCCCAAGAGACCACGGGGAGAACGCGCAAACTCCAAATATACAGCAGGCGTTCGGGTCGGGATCGAACCCACGATCTGGAGTAAACATCTAATCACCGCGGTGCCTACCACTGTTTTGTGGCCTACCACTGTTTTGTGGCCTACCACTGTTTTGTGGCCTACCACTGTTTTGTGGCCTACCACTGTTTTGTGGCCTACCACTGTTTTGTGGCCTATCACTGTTTTGTGGCCTACCACTGTTTTGTGGCCTACCACTGTTTTGTGGCCTACCACTGTTTTGTGGCCTACCACTGTTTTGTGGCCTACCACTGTTTTGTGGCCTACCACTGTTTTGTGGCCTATCACTGTTTTGTGGCCTACCACTGTTTTGTGGCCTACCACTGTTTTGTGGCCTATCACTGTTTTGTGGCCTACCACTGTTTTGTGGCCTACCACTGTTTTGTGGCCTACCACTGTTTTTTCACCACCCTGCTGTGCTCTTTGGAGCCCCGAGGAGGCCTGTGCGGCCACACACCTTGGGAGACGGTGCCACAGATGCCGTGGACTCTTGCGGTGCAGAATTTGCTGAACAGGGACTCGGTCCAGGCTCAACCTGGTCAAGGTGGTTGATGTCTTAGAAAAAAAAATCCTGACCACTGCCTCATATATACTCTGTGGTAAAATAGTACATTCGGTCACAACGCAAGTCTTGTGCGTACCCAGTTGAAGTCTCATTGAAATCAGAATATTTATTTATTGTGGCGGAATCCGATAAGCTATAAAGCTCTTTTTTCACAGCTGTCCAATAGGGCGCGCTTCAGAACATCACAACAACAAACAGTTACCAAACACGATAGAAGCTCAAAGTGCAAGAAAAGGTAAACAAATCACCCACACATACAAATACAACACTAAACCATCCCCATCCTACCAGGCAAAGCCCCACTGAGGTTATTTGACAGATCCCGGTGTGCCCTGGTAATGCGTTCCCCTTGGCTAAGCTTTCCATTGTAGTCGTACCTCTTAGGAGTCGCATTAGAATACTACAATGTTCCGTATTGGGAGTAAAAAGCTGAGCCCTGCTGCTGTTTTGTGTGCCTACAGGAAATTCGGTGCATGCAGACAAGAAGTTTCTGGACAAGTACATGCCACAGTTTATGAGGCATCTCCACTACAGGATCATCGATGTCAGCACGATTAAGGAGCTATGCATGTGAGTGAAAACTCACTTCTTTAGAATTGATTTTTGTGTTTGTTGTCCTTCTCCCACACCTCCTGATGAGCACGGTTGGCTATGTACAGTGCAAAAGAAGTGTAACATACGTAAAGGTCACCGAAAGGCTCATCATGTAAAAGGCAAAGGTGCGGCCCTGCAATTGCAAGCCCACCCTGCTGCTGGCTAAATGACTTCCACCAGACGGAGCTCTCGAGACCTGGAGAGGGAATTTTGGTCTACTGACTGCTTTCCAGACGTCTTGAAAGAGGTGGGAGTCCCGGTGTTTTGCCCTGCCACATGGAACCTCGTGATGAACTGTGCTGTGCCCATTTGATTGCTGGGTGCGATTTTAGAAACTTGCCCTTCGTTTTTAGTGCCTTGCCGGGAGATCAGTCGAACCAGCGACCTCTGGATTATATGTCACCAACATAACTTTGAAAGTGGAAATTAAGTTTCCTTACAAAGTACATTTTTCCATTTTCCGTTACATTGCTTCTGGCGGGGTGTGTGAAAGGCAGCACAAAGGCCCCCTTGCGTCTCATCCACCTGTACCTGCCCTGTCAACGGAGATTGTAGACACCACTTATCCCGATGATTTTGCGATACAGCAGATCAAGTGATTGCAACGGTGTGTCCCTCGATAGGAGGCTAGCCACGGCGGCTCCCTTCCCACATGGAAACTCTTATGCGGGCGGGCGGGCGGGTGGGCGGGTCAGCGGGGCGACCAAATGTCAAAATGTCACGTCGGCCGAGTGCTTTCACTGGGCTGTCCAGAGCAGCATTCACAGTCCATTTTACAGCTTCATGTGGTCGCTGTCACTGCTGAAGTGATCAGCGCTGACAGCTCCAAGCAATTCATCACACACGCATCATTGTCCTCACAAAAAGGGGGGGGGCATGGCGAGTGGGGACAAGGAGCGCGCTGAGAAAAATGGTCGTGAAGGGCTCGGCGGCTCCGCATTTTCGTTTTGCACAATAATGAGGGCTCGAGAATTCCCGCGCAATTATCCCCATCGCCGCGTTACCCTGTGGGAAATGCCGTTTAGTGCGTTAATGTATCGTACGGGTGGCAACGTGGACCATCGCTTAGAGCGAGTACAGTCATCCCGTCCATCGTTTTATACCTCCCCGATATTAAATACGTAATGACCCACAGAATTAGAATTTATATATATTATAACCACGCGAATTGCACTGCACGGGACACAATCAACGTGTGAAATTGGAAAATGAATGTATTTTGCAGTGACAGTTTTATGCTTTCTTTGCTAGCTGTACCAAAATGGTTATCTGTTAATGGGTGATTAAAGGCTGGCTGGGTTCATGAAATGCTGGCGATGTGTTACCCGTCGCAGGCGCTGGTATCCTCACGAGTTTGAGAAGACGCCCAAGAAAAAGGCAACACACCGGTAATCGGAGAAGTCCGCAACATTACTTATCTAAAAATCATCACGTGCACTCGTACATGATATATTTTACACAGTAAATCATCAGCAGTTATCCGGCATAGATGTATTTTCTCATAATTACTATGAGATGTTTACATTCATTTTAAATTGAAAGATATATTTTGTTATTTTAAACATAGAATATTAGTTTGCATTATTTCATATAGCTAAGTTTTACTATTTATTACTGCGTGTCTTTGTTGTCTGCGTAGAAGGTATTCTTAATGCCGGACCTCAATAAAACCACACGGTGCCTCATAGTGGTTCTCTGCGCTTTGCGTCTTGACATGGAATCATAATGTTCATCATCTTTACCACCATCATTTATTATTTATACCGCACATCTCATGCAGTACATGTCGAGGCGCCAAGACATTGATTTCATTCGAAACATCCAGAGGCTTCCTTAATTTGCTATTTGAGCCCAGGGCATAGACACAGAACCCCTTAAACCCCAACACGCATTATCCAGAGGGTTCCAGATGAAAGCTGAATACTACCGTCTCCAAACTATCCACGTGCCCACCCCTATAAGCTAAACATTTTAGTGATCAACAATAACTGGTCTGAGGATCCGCACCTTATCTTACTGCTGCAAATGACCTGCCCATTGACTGCAGTGTAACCCATGTATCCTGCTTGGTGGAAATGGTGGGAGATCGAAACTCGCGGTGACCAGTGGATTTGGCAAGCCCAGCGTGCCAACCCGTCCCAATGGACCATGGCAGCATTTGACATTAACCGCCGTTGAATCGTCGGTGGAGAGGAAGAGCCAAGCCGCAACGGGGGCTGTGTTCCAGCACGCTCGCCCGGCGCTGTGGCCGCTGGATGCCGCCGAAACTGTCGCCGTCGCAGACGCTTTGTCAGCCCGACCCACGTCCGTGCGCGTGAACCTGTTGGCAGGACCGGTCAACAGTGTGGGGTGCGCTTCGATGTCAGTCGCCTCCCTCTCACCGGCGGTTTACGCCTCTGGGACTTGTCGTGATGATGGTGTCGCAGCGGCAGACGGAGCAAATTTCCATCCGTGCGGAATTGGCTAGAATTGGCGCTCTCACATTTTTCTCCTACCGCTCTACTGTCCTCCCACTTGAAAAGCCACCTTCTATGTACCCAGTTCACCGAGGTCAGCCTCCGTATATCTCTATTTGTCTGTTTGTTAGTGTACGTGTTTTTACGCTTACAAATACCTTGGATTACAGTGATTTTGTGTACATGGAATATATTCTCTAGTCTGCTGTTCTGTTTGTGTTAATTTTCCTTTGGAATTCTACATCCTACTTCTTTTCTTCACATGCATCTTGACTGGTTATCCCATTGTTTTGGCTTCAATACCATCCATACTTTGAAGTAGATCAAGATGTTTCCCAGAAGGGGAGGGGGGTGGCAGGGCTTGTCTCTATCACTCCTCACCCCAGAGCTACCACCGTCACCAAGTAATGAAGTTGGTATTTAACACGTAGCAGGCTTTCCCGACCAATATCCATAAGAGGCTTTTTTTGGGTTAGATCGTGTAAATATAAATGCGTCGTGAAACCCACCACCACCCGACACAGCCAATTAGTAAGGGTTTGTCACATAAACAAAACATCCCAATTCCTTACTAGTTCAGCACACCGGTGTGTTGGACAGTAAACCCACAACGTTTACCATTCCAGTCCGATGTTTCGCCGGTATTTACAACTAGCCTCATCAGGCGACAGCTGTGTCGTGTGGTGGCGGGTTTAACGACACAGTTACGCGATCTAACCAAAAAAACCTCTTGTGGAACTTGGTCTTGAAGACGACGACGACGACGACGATGATGATGATGACGACCATGGTGTTGGTGCTTCCAGGGCCGTGGAGGACATCAACGAGAGCATCAAGGAGCTGCAGTTTTACCGAGGGAACGTCTTCAAGCCGAGCCCGGCGAGCGCGGCCACGCAATCGCACGGCGCTGACGAGCCACACTCACCCTGATGACCCCAGCGTGGCAGCCGACCGACCGACCCACCCACCCAAGTCGACGATCCGCACGCTGCACAACGCAGCAGTGGCACCCGCATGGATTCGGACGTCCTCACCCATGCCGTAGGCAGAACACCGCGCGTGCATATTGTCCGTTGCCAATGCCCATTTTTTCAGCTCTTACAACTGTGTATCCTCAAGTAGGCAATGCAGACGTTGGCGGCACGCGTCATTCCTTTACACACAGGTCGTGAAATGGTTTGTTTTACGTGTATTTGTGTGTCCCGTTTGATTTTGTAACGGAGTTTCAAATAAAATGTAGAACGCTGAATTGGCATTCGTGCATATAAAAGACAAACTGGAAACATTGCGCTGGTGCCCACGGACAAAAGCACCTCACCGCCGCCGTCACCATTAACACTGCCTCGCAAACATATAGATGCTGTGTATGAATATTGTCAGGGAGTGTGCGAGAGATCCTTTAGAGCGAGCAGAAGGAAAAGGTCCTTACTATAACAATGCTGGTGTATGCTATATTTCTCGATAAAAGGCCCTGGTAATGACTGGAGTGGAGAGGCATAATCAGCGTAACCTGTGCCAGACACAGGGCAACTTTTGTTATTTGGATTCATAAAATTGTGGGAGAAATACATTTCGGCGTCGCCTGTTGCATGCAAGAGCTCGATGTTTGACGTAGGCGCTGGAGTGGTTGCCGCGGCTTTTGTTGGCGTCGTTGGGTTTTGCAAAGGACGATGCGGTGCGTACTTGTCCACAGGTCGAGCTCGACCTGTGGACGAGCTGCAATGGAAAGGCACCGGCCCGCAAGTGCCCCTCGTGCCTCGGCCGAACCATACACACGCGGCTCCTGATTGACGTTCCCCAGGCAGTGCCTTCGTTATCACGTTTGTGCCTAGGCCTAATGACTTGGAGGTGTCGCTTCAGGTAAGGGGAGTGCAGAAACTGCGGAAGCTTCGTCAGCCGCAAAAGCTGCCGGCACGTAGAGCGAAATATCGGACATCGTGCCACACGACACGGCGGTACAACCCCGGCAACACATTGGGAGGAGAGCTGTGTGGCCCAGCCATGATAAAAAGCTATGCAGTAGCAACTTACATTTCTCGAGCAAAATTTTGAGCGGTATTTTTTTTTATGTAAAGCTCTGCCGCGATGGGCGCTCCTGTGCGCTGCGCGGTGAGGGTACTCGAACTGAAGTCAACGGCATCGGAGCATTGCCGAAGTACGCATGCGATGCACAAGCGGGACGCGTGGCAATGGGCGCTCGTGCTGTTGCAATTGTATTGACCCTGTGTGATGATCGGAGAGTGCAGGTGTGCCAGCAATTGAACGACTTTACACTCCCAGGGGCCCCTCGGCAGGAAAGAACGTTCCACCAGTCGGGGACATCATCAGGCTTTGTATTGCTACTTACTGCATGGCCTTGTATGAATCTTCCTTAAATACTTTTCCTTGTGCAGTTGTAGATTTATGGCCAAATGTATTGAGACAGTACGAGTAAAAGTGACTGTTACCTAGACCTTTCAGTGCAGTAGACGGTAGCCCTCGGCGATTAGCTGATCGGGCACTTGGGTATACCGTGACTCGGATTTGCCTCGCGCCCTGCTCCACGTGGCCAGCCTGTTTATATGCAGGTCTACGTGCCTACAGCCGCGTTCCTGCCGCATGGCATTGAAACGTACGCTTGAGTCAAATGTAGCCCAATGCTGATGTCTTCAAGCACCACCTATCAATACCATTGTTTGATCTGTATTTGCAGCAATACAGTCACATTGGCTTTCCGCGACTTGTGGGGTCAGTTTTACGAGTGCACTCGGTGCTGCGTTACTTCGTCTAGGTCAAAGCCGCCAAGCTTGCTTCACAATCGTAGGCATGACGGAGAGGTGGAGACGTTCGCATTGGAGCATGCTTACAATTCGTGATGGGCTGGACTAAATGCATAGTAGCCCTGCATCGTGATATATGTGAACTTAAGAGCTTTTTGAGAGGGTGATTTGATTTGTTAACATCTTAGCCACGTAAGGGGAAATGTTTTGATACCCAGGGCAAAATGGCAAATATATATTTTTAATGTTCCACATGTATAGATACATTCTGCACTTCTTTGTTGTGTATTGTTTGTGTATCCATGCAGCATTCCGTGCAATGTATTTGGTATGTAAAGTAACATACGGAGCTGGGATCGATTATAATTATAAACGGCAGCATTGATGAAAAATAATAGATTTTACCCTTTCTGGCAATGCAACAGGTGTTAAGATGTTCAAAGACCAAATAGATTTTACAAGGCATCAAGGACAATGCATATATTATCAGAGCATGTTTTGTCACAAGCACGTGTGGTTAGTGCAGTTTTGATGCCTTGCAAAAGGTTTCTATTTGGTGTTTGAGCATCTTAACCCCTCCTGTTTCATCGCCAGAAAGGGTAAAACCTCTTGTTTTTCATAATTTTTTGATACGGGCAAAAAGGTCCCATAGATACAGCAGCATTGTTAGCTGACAGTTACATTATGGTTGCAAGTCATTACGAATGATCCGATTGCACGTGTCAGTCCCCAAATCTACAACAGACATCTCACTTTCATTCGAGGGCCCCCATGCCTCCTTGCAGCTTGCAACATGCATTCCACTACAGCCCATTGCTGTGAAATCTAAACGAGTAGCCCAAACCGCATTTGTGGGATGACTTCAGATGTGATGTTTGTATAAGACGAAACGCTTTTTGGAATCGTTACTGTATTTTGTTTTACATAATCAGTATTGAAAAAATATAACAAATTGGAATGGTTCATTGCAATAAACTATGTAGGTAAGCTGAATAATAATTACCAGCCATGTGCATTTGTAGTCATCTTTTGAACGGCCTTATGTCTAGTATGTAGGCGTACATCGTTTTATAACAGGATTCAGATTAAAAATTGATAAATATTTTACTGTTATATGTGCAGGTGTAAATTTAATACAAAAATGGGTTTACATCTGTTCCTCTAATTTTAAATTGCCTACTTTGAATCAATTTGGAAACGATGTCAACAGGGACAATCGCTTGTTAATGATATATCTGAGTTTTGGACTTGTAAAAGTGTACCCTTGAATAAACTTGTCTTGGGTAAGAGGAGTTTGACCATCACGTGAAATTTGTGCTTGGAATCATCTTCAAGGAGGAAACAAGTATGGAGGGTCCTGTGGTGAAATGTTTGGCCAGTGTCTGTGTGAATGAGTAATAAACATGTGGAGGGTAGTGGGCGCATGTGGAGTGTCCAGGGAAATCTCACAAGAGGATAATATGCATGCTCAGTATCACACTGACAGCAGAGGAGCACGTAGATCATGGGACGAATGCAAATCGGATGTCATCCAGAAATGTTAACTCCCTCGCCTGGTATACAGGAGGTCGTGGGTTCGACCCCGACCCTACGCCTGGATATTTCGAGTTTTGCATGCTCTCCACGTGATCGCGTGGATTTTTCTCCGGGTCCTCCGGTTTTTCCCTCATTTAGAAAGTGCGTTTAGAGTATTTGGTTACTATAAATTTCCATACGATAGGCCGTTTCGTTGAGCTATCATTTGTGACCAGGTCGCATTTGAAAAGGAGCTACATAGCTCAGTGGACCTTACCTGGTAGTATAAGAAGTTTAGTTTAATAGAATGACAGCCAAAGGAGAGAACACACCCGAATGTGTAGTTAGCCTGGTGGTCCACCACCACCAACACAGGTTGTTGTCTGGCAAAGGGGCTGTTACCACTTTGTGTTGGTATCAATAAATGTGTTGCCTCCAAAGAGTACGACTGCGACTCAGTTGAACTCACTACACATTTGTAAACTTCTCTGTTGATCGTTGCATTTCAAGACTTTGGCTTAAGTGAGCCAGCCAATCTCCGAGTTTTGAGGAAGCCACTAATGGGCATGAGATAGATCAGCAGCCATTGCCCTCATCTTGACCCTGGCTTTTCAGGCGCATGCTATTTCTGCTCCAAGGGACGTGTTTATGTTATTTATGTTTACACAATTTAAGCTTTACTTATTTATATATATTTTTAAAAAAAACCTTGAGAACGTGAACACACTTATTTGTATTCGTTCGAGTGCCTAGGACATTTAATTAGAAGACAGCTGGAATTTTTAAAATGAAATTTTTCCTGCACATTAGCTCCATCTCTGCGAAGGATGTCCTCCAGGACATATTCACACCTTTGGCTGCCACTCCATCATCCGTCTCATCTATCATCCCTTCTTGTGAAATATCTTCTTCAAGCCCACTCGCTCTCCTCAAGTCCAAAATGTCCACTTTTGGAATGCTCTCTTATCTTCGATCATCACGGTTGGCTACGTACGGTGAGAAAAAAGTGTAATGTACATGTCTGTGCTCAAACTTGATTTGAAGCTTTGGTCACTGCAGGAATTACTCGTTGGTTCTTTCGGTAAAGTCACGTGGATATAAAATAAATTTAATAATAGAATACATATTACTTAATAGGTATTCTATTTTTTTTTACCGAAAGAACCAAAGAGTAATACTATTTGTGTGCTCTGTCTCTCAGTGTAATTCCCTTGCCGGCATGCATCTCTCAATGCTGATTTGCACTTCTCAGCTATTGTTCCACGTGCATTGTCAGAGTCCATCTGTTCATACGCCATGGCAGGCAATACGCATACCGTGTCAACCCATACGGTTTACCCCGTATTCTTGTACAGGGAAATTGAGTTTTCAGGTCCATACGGCGTACAGCCGTTTCAATACGAGCAACATTTATGTTGTCTGTTTGTGTTTCTCCCTTGTGATGGGACTTGGAGGATGAACGTTGAGATTTATAAGGGGCACGGGGTGACCAATAAGGTCTGAGTTTGTCTGTAATAAGGTAGGCGTTGACAGGTATGAATATGCACCAGTTGAGAATGTTATTTCGGCACATTGCTCTGTCGTTTTGCATTACAGTATCAACTTAAGCGTTCCAAAAAGCACCCCACTCTGCTCTTGCTCTCTTCATTAGTTAACTATTTCGATCCTGGTCCGCCTTAAATAATTGCCCTCGATATACACAAACTCTGCTGGTGTTCCTGTTGTGTCCCTCTAACGTTTTGTTAAGTACGCTAAAAGGATCGAGCATCCTCAACTTCCCCCCCCCATTCATACTTGCGATTTCGATTCGCCACCTTGCTGTACTTTGTTGTATTCGTTTTGCTCTTCGCTACTTGGGTGACCCGGGTCACCTCTCGCAACGAGATGGTCACTCCCGTCCCTTGAGTTCTCAACAACGAGATGGTCACTCCCGTCCTTGAGTTCTCACAACGAGATGGTCACTCCAGTCTCTTGAGTTCTCACAACGAGATGGTCACTCCAGTCCCTAGAGTTCTCACAACGAGATGGTCACTCCAGTCCCTTGAGTTCTCACAACGAGATGGTCACTCCCGTCCTTGAGTTCTCACAACGAGATGGTCACTCCAGTCTCTTGAGTTCTCACAACGAGATGGTCACTCCAGTCCCTAGAGTTCTCAACAACGAGATGGTCACTCCAGTCCCTTGAGTTCTCACAACGAGATGGTCACTCCCGTCCTAGAGTTCTCACGAGATGGTCACTCCAGTCCCTTGAGTTCTCACAACGAGATGGTCACTCCCGTCCCTTGAGTTCTCACAACGAGATGGTCACTCCAGTCTCTTGAGTTCTCACAACGAGATGGTCACTCCAGTCCTTGAGTTCTCACAACGAGATGGTCACTGCTGTCCCTTGAGTTCTCACAACGAGATGGTCACTCCTGTCCCTAGAGTTCTCACGAGATGGTCACTCCCGTCCCTTGAGTTCTCACAACGAGATGGTCACTCCCGTCCCTTGAGTTCTCACAACGAGATGGTCACTCCAGTCTCTTGAGTTCTCACGAGATGGTCACTCCAGTCCCTTGAGTTCTCACAACGAGATGGTCACTCCTGTCCTTGAGTTCTCACGAGATGGTCACTCCAGTCCCTTGAGTTTTCACAACGAGATGGTCACTCCTGTCCCTTGAGTTCTCACAACGAGATGGTCACTCCCGTCCTTGAGTTCTCACAACGAGATGGTCACTCCTGTCCCTTGAGTTCTCACAACGAGATGGTCACTCCATCCCTAGAGTTCTCACAACGAGATGGTCACTCCCGTCCCTTGAGTTCTCACAACGAGATGGTCACTCCAGTCCCTTGAGTTCTCACAACGAGATGGTCACTCCCGTCCTTGAGTTCTCACAACGAGATGGTCACTCCAGTCCCTAGAGTTCTCACAACGAGATGGTCACTCCAGTCTCTAGAGTTCTCACAACGAGATGGTCACTCCAGTCCCTTGAGTTCTCACAACGAGATGGTCACTCCTGTCCCTTGAGTTCTCACAACGAGATGGTCACTCTTGTCCTTGAGTTCTCACAACGAGATGGTCACTCCAGTCCCTTGAGTTCTCACAACGAGATGGTCACTCCTGTCCCTTGAGTTCTCACAACGAGATGGTCACTCTTGTCCTTGAGTTCTCACAACGAGATGGTCACTCCCGTCCCTTGAGTTCTCACGAGATGGTCACTCCAGTCCCTTGAGTTCTCACAACGAGATGGTCACTCCCGTCCCTAGAGTTCTCACAACGAGATGGTCACTCCCGTCCTTGAGTTCTCACAACGAGATGGTCACTCCTGTCCCTTGAGTTCTCACGAGATGGTCACTCCAGTCCCTTGAGTTCTCACAACGAGATGGTCACTCCAGTCCCTTGAGTTCTCACAACGAGATGGTCACTCCCGTCCCTTGAGTTCTGACAACGAGATGGTCACTCCTGTCCCTTGAGTTCTCACGAGATGGTCACTCCCGTCCCTTGAGTTCTCACAACGAGATGGTCACTCCCGTCCTTGAGTTCTCACAAAGAGATGGTCACTCCAGTCTCTTGAGTTCTCACGAGATGGTCACTCCAGTCCCTTGAGTTCTCACAACGAGATGGTCACTCCTGTCCTTGAGTTCTCACGAGATGGTCACTCCAGTCTCTTGAGTTCTCACAACGAGATGTTCACTCCAGTCCCTTGAGTTCTCACAACGAGATGGTCACTCCATCCCTAGAGTTCTCACAACGAGATGGTCACTCCCGTCCCTTGAGTTCTCACAACGAGATGGTCACTCCAGTCCCTTGAGTTCTCACAACGAGATGGTCACTCCCGTCCTTGAGTTCTCACAATGAGATGGTCACTCCAGTCCCTAGAGTTCTCACAACGAGATGGTCACTCCAGTCTCTAGAGTTCTCACAACGAGATGGTCACTCCCGTCTCTTGAGTTCTCACAACGAGATGGTCACTCCTGTCCTTGAGTTCTCAACAACGAGATGGTCACTCCAGTCCCTTGAGTTCTCACAACGAGATGGTCACTCCTGTCCCTTGAGTTCTCACAACGAGATGGTCACTCTTGTCCTTGAGTTCTCACAACGAGATGGTCACTCCCGTCCCTTGAGTTCTCACGAGATGGTCACTCCAGTCCCTTGAGTTCTCACAAAGAGATGGTCACTCTCGTCCTTGAGTTCTCACAACGAGATGGTCACTCCAGTCCTTAGAGTTCTCACGAGATGGTCACTCCTGTCCCTTGAGTTCTCACGAGATGTTCACTCCAGTCCCTTGAGTTATCACAACGAGATGGTCACTCCAGTCCCTTGAGTTCTCACAACGAGATGGTCACTCCCGTCCCTTGAGTTCTCACAACGAGATGGTCACTCCAGTCCCTTGAGTTCTCACAACGAGATGGTCACTCCAGTCCCTTGAGTTCTCACAACGAGATGGTCACTCCAGTCCCTTGAGTTCTCACAAACGAGATGGTCACTCCAGTCTCTTGAGTTCTCACAACGAGATGTTCACTCCAGTCCCTTGAGTTCTCACAACGAGATGGTCACTCCAGTCCTTAGAGTTCTCACAACGAGATGGTCACTCCAGGTCCCTTGAGTTCTCACAACGAGATGGTCACTCCAGTCCCTAGAGTTCTCACAACGAGATGGTCACTCCTGTCCCTTGAGTTCTCACAACGAGATGGTCACTCCAGTCTCTTGAGTTCTCACAACGAGATGGTCACTCCTGTCCCTTGAGTTCTCACAACGAGATGGTCACTCCAGTCTCTAGAGTTCTCACAACGAGAT